TTGATATGTACAGTAATTAGGTAGATGGGTGCAAAAAGATGTCACAGAAGACAGGGAAAAGAGCGCTGACAGGGAACTTGATTATCAGCTTTTTGAACGACTAAACCAACTGGAGAAAGAGGAAGAAGAGCAAGAAAAGTTACTGAAACAGAATAGGGAAGCTGAAGCGAAAAAGAGTTTGAGAAGAAAAATTGTAGAAACAAGTACGGAACTAATGAAAAAGGATGATGAGGGCAACAAGATGAATGAAAGAGGAAAGGTAGAGCATATGGGCGACAGGAGTCATTTACATACTATTCATTTCAAACATTCTGAACAATCAGGATTGCCATCCAAATCTTCATCTCATGAACTGCATTCTAATGATTCAGTTACGCAATACCTCAATCCTGGGGATATTTATGTATATAAGAAAGCTATTGCTGATTCTGTACCTGTGAAGTTAGCAGACGATGAAGTTAGAGAAGCTCAACGTGAATTTAAAAAATCTGTTCATTTCAAATCTCATCATACAACACCTACTACACCTCATGTGAGTATCGCAGCCTAAACCTACTATTGAGTCTACTCGAAACGATATGTTACAGCCTAGTGCCAGCCCAATAAAACTTTGTACTCCATTAATGTCTCTGATTTCAACTTTAATGTAGCCACAGATGCATGTACTACACAATGTAGACCTACAAATACATGTAACTGTAATTTCCTTAATGTACATTGTACATGTATGATTCTGCCATCTTGTGTGCTTTGTTTCTTTAATGTACATGTAGCAAATGTTATTGATGCTATAATGTATTATAGCAAATGATTCCTATCTATTCCTTAGGCATTTTCAGGTGTTGTCATGGAGCGGAATCCTGTTGCAATAGCAAATGAAGGGGTTAGTTTTAAAACAATAATTTATTCAATGTCAGTGCTATAGTTTTATGTCCATATTCCATATCGTGTGTAATGTACATCACTACTGTTATTTTCTCGTGTTATAGTACATGTACATTATAATTGTTTATTTTGCACAATTGCTGTTAGTCAACTTTTATGCATTGTGATTCATTGAAGGTACTTCATTTTCGGTTCTTTTTGTTTCTATTTCTCAAAGTATGATATTGTTTATGCAAGCATGTTTTTGACAGATATCTGCATAGATAGGACATAGCACAAATGTAGTGTGGCCTCAACCAGTTGTGCTACTTTTACTGCTTAGCTATGTACAGTACCTTTACAATCCCTTGGTAGCATGCTTATCTTGACAATTATTTGCATCATTCTAAGGTTATCAATTATTGAAAATATTTAAATCTTGTCATTGTTCACTGTATATGCAATGTCACAATCATTTTACCCTAACAAATATCTCTTCATCAAGTTCAGAGTAACAAGATTTGCTGACTTCTGTTGTCATTCTTATTCCTTTTTTTTAATTTTCTCCTTATTTTCTTGTAAAATGTTTTTGCCTCCTGTGTACATTATATGACACATCTATTCAAATTTTACTGAATGTTTTTTTCTAAAACTTATAACACATCCTGGAGATTAATTTATGGGATGTGATTTCATGAGTATTTAAGATTTGTTACTTTTTGCTATTTTGTCATAGGCTGCAACAAAGGTTAAAGAAAGTAAAAGAGAAACAGTTTCAAAATTCAAATTATCAAGAAAGATGTAATTTATACTTTTATCAACAAAACTTATTGTTCTTTGTAGTATTGAATCATTAGCATTGTAAAGTACTTTTAATTTAATTTATTCATTCAAGTACACCAACAGAACTTGAACTGCCTCAGTTACTTGGCATAAGTTATACCCAGAATGTTGTACCTGAATATATAAAGCTTCATAAATTGATACTGCCATGATAATGATGAATTTTTTCTTAAACCCCCAATATTATACAGATTAATGAAAATTAAGGTTCAATAAACCAGAGTTAAAGAAGTAAGTGTTAAAAGTGTGCAGAAGCAATGATGAGTTCAAAAATGATTAATTCATCAAAATTATAGACATTCCAAGAAACAGTTAATTATGGGCGTGCAGAAGTATATAATTATTATAGGTTATTATAAATCCGTTGATGGCCTGCTGACTTGACTGACCATCCATGTACTATCAATCTACTATGGACTAACATACATAAACAATAAATTTTGTTTTATACCACAGATACATATGTGCATGAATACAGTAACATAAGTCAGTAAATGAGTGGATAAAAATGCATAAAGGCCACAAATTACTCCAAAATTTGCATTTCAGCATTAAAAAAGTACTGTGTACTACATATGTATGTACTCTTGACATGAGATAGGAACAAATTGTATATAGAGCCACAAATGCTACCCCTACAAAATTACTGACTACATGATACTACTTTATTCAACCATCAACCCTCTCTAGCTGCTACAGGTCATGAGACGGAGTTTCAACACTTTTATAGCAGAACTGTTACCATTATGGTTGCAGTTCATAATAACAAGTTGTTTAATAGTGCTATACAGGTTCTGTTGTTTTTATATTTACATCAGCAACTGAACTTAACTTGGACTCTACTCCACGATAAATTGATTGTCAATCACGTAATTCCGTTTGCATTCAAAAATTCAAACCCTATTACTCATAATCCAAATTGAGGGCTGTAAATTTTGGAGTTCATAATTTTTGATGATAAAAAAAATTAATTGTGCAAAATCCTTTTACTATGGTATTAGATAGTTGATGGCAAGTTTCACAAAAATTAAACAGTAAAATACTCTCAAAATTGCATACCCAAATAGTAAGAATCACATATTAGGTGTCAAAAATTGATCAATGATTAGGCAAATTTTTACTCCTTAAAATTGTAATTTTAAGATTTTAAATTGTAATTTGTAATTGTAATTTAAACAGAATCAGCTCAAACCTTCCATATCACATACATGCTTTTACAGTTGGTCTCCTTTTTCTTGTTGACAGAGCTAAAAGTACATTAAAGTTGCATAAAAATTAAAATTATATACATCACAATTGTTACTTCATTGCCAACAGTGTTGTTCGATGTATCAGCAGGTTTCCACAACAAAAGGTACCATTAGAATGCACATTCATTATTCATTCAAGAACTAACAAGTTGAGAAAATTTTTCAGTTGACCAGAAATTTTTTTTCTATAAGAGATGGAATTTAAAAACAGGAACACAAATGAACTCACCATTTACTTAAATTTTGAAGGACTCATAAAAACCATACTCCACTCAGCAGGAGAATGTCTTTCCTTGTTCCAAAAAGGTTCATGATACTAAGAGGCTGTAAGAGCATTCAAGGTAAGCCTCTTTAAAACAGTGCATCATGAATCTAAAAGTTAGTGATAGTAATGTGAAAATCAAGAGTCCATAATGATTAACAGAACATTGCCTCAGCAGTCAGCCGCCTGCTCTGGGTATTCTATCATAAATAAACATATTTAGAATGAGTTTAACTTTTACATTCCCTGAAACTTATAGCAAAGTAAACCTGCTTGGAGTACTGGGCCAGAATAACGATGATTATTTAAGCTCCTCTTAGACATTAAATTTGATATTAAAATAATAATGACAATACATGTAAATAAAACATGTACAATAAATAAAATAAAATGGAGGGAGCCAGAGTGAAAGAAGTAAACTTTAAAGTGTGTAAAAGTTAGTTCAAAAACAATCAGGATGAGAGTGCATACATGTACCAGTACATGAAAAAGATACATAAAGTAGCTGTTAACACAAAATGATTGGAAATGTAAAAAATAAAAGCATGCTTTTCATAATTTTTGATAATGTACAACAAAGTAAGTCTTTTGAAAAAAGTCCCTTGTTCGTTGCCAAAGAAAATGAAATTAATAACGCCTAGTCACTTGTAAATTTCAACATGCATACAAGAAATGTAACCCTTGTGTCCTCCACTTTCTCCTCCAACAATCCTCTTATCCTCATACAATTGTAGTCGTGCTGTTAATAGGTGCCAGACATCTTCTTTCTTGTCGAGGTGGTGTCATAAGAGCTGAACAATCCATTGGAACAACTTGCTGGTTGCTTTTAAGTCCTCTTCCTCCACCTGCTGTGTCAGCTATCATTTCTTGATATTTGATGATATCTTGTGCTTCTTCCAACATGTTAATGTTAACTTCATGTGTTTGAATGTTATGAGCATCTTGTAGAATTACCTGAGAAAAAATTAAAGGAACAATAATTTAAAGGATTTACATGTAATTTTTCGTTAGCAAATAGCGAGGGATTAATGTTTCTCAATCACTACATGCACTTCAGAGACCTAATAGTATTTCCTTTATCTTTTGCAAATATATGTACGATGACTACAATCTAATTGTGCTATTAGTATTATGACAAACTTATTGCATACATCATCAATCAAAATATAATTAATGGCATGATGGAACATGATGTGACACATACGTGTATTCAGTGTCACTCATCCATCTGTCCAGTGTACATATACATGTAGTTTGACATTCTTCTTTCTACTATCTACACTTGCAACACAATCTAGTAAATGGCTTTCGTAGCAACATTAGCTAAATCAATTATTCTACCTTAAACAACCACAATTAGTATAGTTGATTTCAGTTGAGTTTGACCAAATGTTGTCATCATCAAAATGTCCCGTGTAGCCCCACTCACACACAAATTCATCATGTTGCTTTCTTCTTGTATTTCTATTTTGATAGCTGCTAACCCTGCAATTGGCATAAAGGATCTTTGTGGTTGGAAAAAAGTTGCGAGATATGCAAAATTTCAACTGAGTTTCTGAGTGGCGATATAATGATGACAAAGAAAAAAGGGTTAGAGAGGCACAGCAGACTAAGTGAGACTTCTTTCTGGTGGCAAAGTCTTCTAAAGTCTATTCAGTTTCACCTGACCTATTGATTTTTGTTATAACTTTTGATAAACATGTAATTTAGAAATTTTGTTTGCACCATTAGAATCGCTAGGTCCTTCCAGTCCTTTAGATAAAAAGATGTGACGTAGTTATTTATTAATTGAAAAAAGCCAGGGGTCAGGTAAAAGTGAATAGACTTTAGTTCAATTTTATGTTGGTATGGAGTGTTCCTTTTGCTTTCTTTGATTAAAAAAAATAAAAAACGTGATTATCAACATGTTTAATGAGATGCAAATGATATTCACAAAGGTTAACATCACAAAACATCAGCGGCTCCCTTTTATGACCAGAAGAACCATTTGAGAACCTTCCAGAGTACCTAGAAACTCCAAAATTGGTACACCTTTTCGGAAGACTCCGTTTTGCAACTATACCACATTTCAAGCTGATAGCATAAAACATAAAGAAGTTATAAGGATGGGTCAGTGGTCAAACTCAACTGAAGCCAACTATACTCGCCTACACAAAAGCAAGGCAAGTCCAAAGATTAAATTACCATGCATGAAAGCAGCATTATTTCTTTAAACTCACATACATAACTACTCATTGAACTATTAGCATGTACCATGCAATCATAACTCAATTAGTCCACCTTAAGGCTATTACATTAAGTACAGGTGATGTCATGCCTCATTAAAGTAAGGGTTGTACCAATATAATACTACAGCTGTTCAGTAAAAGTAAATGAGCTCATTATAACAAGCTTTCCATAGAATATTTAACACACACTCATTAATAATATCAGTCAGCTCTATCGTACTCACTCAAAGTGCAAATAATACTTACTCCTCTAAATGCTTTCTGCACAGGTTGTGCCATCCTATTGATCACAGATACAAAAGCATTTAGCCATTGTACACAAACATGAATATCAGCAAGTTGAAAGCCTACAAGTATATGTATATTAGAGAGAGAGAGTCATAAGCAAGCGACATGTAAATAACTCTTACCTGTGACAAGATTAAGATGCATTTGACATTTCTCAGATACCAAATAAAGAGCTGAAGCAGCAAGTATACTGTTGCAGAATTGCCTACTAGTTATATCTAATGTACACAGGTCTAATACCTACGTGAATAAAAAATATAAAGTACTAGCTTTGCCAGGATTTAAGACTATTGCATGTACTTAATTAATATTAGATTCTTAGAATCTCCTAAAAGTACATTACATATAATTGTACTATCAACAGTTTTTAAGTGTTACTCATTTCTACTACTACTAGTGGCATAATTAATAATGTTTGATGTGGTAAAATACGTAAACATGTATGCAATTGCATGTACATGTACAACAAAAGAAAACAAAAGTGTACAAGTAACATAATTATTTCAATTTCCAAAAAAGTTTCATCATCTATACCAAATAGCTCATCAAATCAATAATAATTTTGTTGATTCTAGGCATGATAATCAAATCTCTACACACAATTCATTAACGCATATATACAAGTACAAAAATACATTTCTTTTACAATCTCATACCTGCATTACTCTAATAAACTCAAACGGAGAAAAGGCAGGATACTCAAATTCTCTTGCCTTCAGTCCATGTGGCCTGAAGTAACTGCTCACAAGTTGCATATACAGGTTAACCCAAGTATTCACAGATACTGAGCAATGATGCAATCTCCATTTAAGAGCCTATACAACAAAAAATCAATAGAAAATACTGATACTGTAGAGGCTGTACATGTATAAGAAACTATAATCATTACAACTACATAATATTCTCGGAAACAGTAATGGCAATTAATGTGCTAATGTGTCAGTATTAGGGATGGAAATTTCCACTTCCAACTATATATTTTATTCCATGAATAGATAAAACAAATACAACAATACACTACCAGTACAATACATTAACAATATATAGAAACACAATACACATGACTATAACATTCTATTTCACATTCCAAGTCTAAGAGCTCACTTGAATTGTCATGCTTTATGGTCAGGAGTGCATATGGCATAATGCATCACATATATCATACATGTCATACTTTTATCCAATCACAATTAAGGTATTGCTGTGTAAATTAGTTTTTAAGGAGCAAAACCAAAACATGGGTTGTACCCAGAAACTATTGTATAAACAACCATATCAGATGTGGTATATTATAAACACTAGTGGGTGTGGAAAAATCTTAAAATGTGACAGAAGCCTATAGCTGTAAGTGGAGTTGGTAATAGCAAATCAATTGACATAAATTATAGAATTGGAGATACATGCACTTTAACTTTCTATTATCAGCTTTAAAGTAATTTATCATTATTCTTAGGGTTATCAGTGTAACAATTCAATACTTCTGCATGGCTCTTCGATCAAGTCATGCACTATATAAATCTAACTTTGAAAGAATTAAAGCTATATAAGCAAAAGCAATGTGTCAGCACAAAATGTTGTGAACAATACTAAATGTTGATTTTATCACTATAAAACCTCAAAGGTGAGAATCCATACATGCATGAACATGGCTTGTGTACATTATACATTGTATACACCATAATATTACATACTAAACTTGGACTGACAATCTGACATTTTAACAAAGAATAAGATATCAAATAATAAATGCAATCATTAACAGCTTTACATAAAAGTATAATGAAATGTAGTGAGCATGAAGCAAAATCAAATTGGTATCAAGACTAAATTGTGATTATAGCACCTGCTGTTCAAGGTAGAGACTCACTTTGCATATCATTAGTTCCATGAATACTATCTCTTCACTGTTGCAGGCACCATCAGTCACATATGCAAAATCAGCTAGTTTAGGAGGATAGATTTCCTAGTAAGAAAGAAGTAACACTAGCATACATAGAGTGACAGCTATAATATACCTCTATCTTCGATGCTATAAAAAGACAAGTGACTCCTATTAGTTGCAACTGCTCTTTTTGGACATTGGTCTGGGTGTCCATAAAACGATCAAAAAGTTCAAGAGACAAATAATATGTCTCTCTGTGTATCCTATATTCTTCACAAACCTGACAAAATAATATTAGAATATAAATACAGAAGCAATAGGAATTAGTTGAATTACTACAATGTATTCCCTAAAGCTAAACTTAATAACTATAAAAAAAACTAAATGGTTGAGGCTGCAGAACTGCTGCTATATGCTACTATACAATATACTTCAATCAGCTGGCAGATTGACCACAAAACACTCATTTCCTTATACACTAATACAATAAAATATACATACATAACCTAAACCCACATCTAAAAAGTTATTGCAAATCATTTATATTACAACACTTAGATTAGCTGGTATTAGAAAGTGCTAGTAGAGCAGAATACTAAGCATGTGCATGTAAATGTCACAAGAAAATTATGATTCAACAAAAAAATCGCCAAAAAATTACATCACTATATCAAAAGAGGCCAACAATTACTATGTCTTACCTCCAACATCCAATCAAGCAATATAGTTCGCATTGTAGGCATTATAGAGGGATGCCGTAGTCTCAGTTCTGTTCCAGGAGCTGCTTGTGATGTATCTTTAAGTCTCATTTCTCTCCAAAGATTAGTTGAATCTGTCCATGACAAAGATGGAAGCGGAGATGGTAAGAAGGTAATGGGAGAGGGCGCTACACGTGCTAGCATTGGTGCAACCCCTCTTGTCAGAATAGGAGAAGGAGAAGAAAGAGAAGAGCTGTTAATCCTTTTCTTCTTCTCCTCTCCTTTTAAGACCTCATGGCCACTGGAGGAGGAGAGAGGAGGTGGGGGTGTCTGAGGAGTTTGATGAGAGGTGGAGAGTGTCTGCAAAACTCCTCCTCCTTGCCTTAAAGTTAGCCCAACTGGTGGTGGTACATTCTCCTTGCAAGACAAAGAGAAAGGTTCCATATACATATTTTCAGCAATTTCACACTACAGAAAAATAGAAAGAGAACCTTAAAAGCGGTTACAATTAGCCTAGAAAAGAGGGCGAAATCACACTAAACTGATTCATGGCAAGAGACTTTTGTATCAATGACTATTCAAGTCTCTTTTGCTAACGTCACACTCTAAAGCACGACTTACCAGAGACTGCTTGTTTCTTTTACTTTTTGTCAGAAACTGAATATCCTAAAAGTAACAAAATAGATTGTAGTAATGGCGATACTAGTGAAGAGCGCTCGGTATCCGTCATAATACCTGTTCTCTTTCTTCAGTTCTTTTCCTACTCGCAATTGAAGGCAGTGAAGCAACTGAGCCGCTCATACTCTTTCAGCCGCCAAAAAGGAAGGCACCACAAATAAGTGCTAAGGGCTTCGATAAGCCAGTTGCTCCTTCTCCTCCCAGTATTCTCTCTGAGATAAAAGGAATTTCGCGAATATAGAGAGAAGAAAGGGGAAGGTAGATGACAAGGAGAGAGAAGAAAGTGGCGGTTTCACACAAGACAATACCTGGCAAGAGTCACCGCCGACCCTTCTTCTCTCCTCCTTCACAGTTTTGGCGCTGGCGGTAACTTGAATTATGGCGGGTAATGTGGACGGAAAGGTAACCTGATTGGTCAATTTGTTCCCGGGATTACCGCCCACCCAGTGGAGCATTCTCATTGGTCAGAGTGTCAGCTGATCCGCGGGAACGATTGGAATGTAAACAAACTCCACGGAAACCAGTTCCGCGACGCACTGCCGGGAGTATCGACCGGGAAAGGATTGTTGCATCAGATTCAGAAGGTTGAAGAGAAAGACATTCACCCTCTTCTTTAACTCCATTGCCAGTATTGCTATCTCCTGAATTTGTGTGACACCACAATGCTTCCATCCTTTGTGAGTAACCTCATCTGGGGAGCGGCAGATGAGGACAGAAACAGTGATGATGGACTGTGCACCGTAACTGAAGAGAAAGATGGTGATTGGCTTGTTATAGATTACGACACTTCAGGTATAAAACATTATGCCACATTGACGCCCGCACTTCATAAACTCACTCCTTATTTTTATATTATTATTGTAATATCTTTTCCTCTTAGCTGATGCCGGGGAAAATGAGTCCACAACTTCAGAAACATCAGTTAGTTCTTGGATAGTTGCTCCATCACCTCGTTTCCGTTCTTCATCTAATGCCCCATCATTGGATAATCATTCAGTCGAGAACCTTCTTCTTGAAAACCCCAGCATGTCTGTGTATGGTTGTCAAGTTACCCCAGTAACTAATGAGGAGACGCAAGAAAGCAAAAACAAGCAGTTGGTTCCGTATGATATGCATAGAAGACAGATTGTCAGGTATTCCCAAAATAACCGACAATTGGTTCTTCTTCGAAGGCAAGAACAACAGGAGCTGGCTAATCAAATGGGAATACCTCTCGAGCCATTTGTCCCTGAAAAACCATGTGAGTCTGCCCCAATTCCATGTCCTATACCAAAATTAAGCAAAAAGGCACTGAAGAAGCACAACAACAACAACATTCGCATAACACGGGGCAAGAAATGCTACAAAATTCATCAATGTGGGGTCAAAGCTGGGAGGCGTCGAAGTTGATTTATCTTCCTCCTCACCTTTGATGCCAAAAATAAGTAGCAGGACTACATAGACCTACTAAAACTTTCAAAGAATAATAGATTAGAGAGGCCTAAAGATAAGAAATTTCATTATTGCAATGATAGAATACACTATTTTTAGACACTTCATCCTCAAAAAAACCATAGATAGAAAAAAATGTATTATAAAAATTATAAATTTTTAAGAAGAGATATTTAAATATAATTTATCGTTACTGTTAATTTGTTTTTTAAAATATTTTTGAACACAATATAATTAATGTATAATATAGCTGGCTGACATCAAAGGAGAATTGCCAAATAGGATGCATAGTAAACTGGAACAGAATGATGACAGTATTGACATGTATAGTAGTGAGCAGATTCTGCTTACACAAGACAAGTGTATAAACAATAACATCTCAAGCACTAATAACTATATGGGCACTTACCCTTGCAACCAATAAAATTAGATATGAAATGCAACCAAGAATGGAAAAAAGTTTACAATACATAACTGCAGTAGATTCAGTGGATGGTTGCTTCTTTCCCTCATGCTCTTTGCCTTTCCTAGGCCACGTCCACAATTACGAAGCACTAGGCAACTTTGTGGTTACTTCAATGTATGTCAACTTTGTTGCCTGAAATAGAACAGTGTTCTACTTTAGGCAAAAAATTTCTGTTGATTTCAACAAAGTTGCCTAGTGGATGTTGGGCTTCACACCAATTTCTTTCTACCTCCCCTTTCAATTTCTAAATCAGTCGCAGTGATTATAAACAAAGGCATGAAGTTATTTCAAAATACAGTTGTGAACAAACATGTCTATATTAAGTCAAAACAAAAGATAAACTCTGAGTTGCACTATCTCCTTAGTGTAGACACATCATGTACAGCTTCCATGAAATTTTCTATTGCTTCTTCGTTAATAGGGTTATACCAATGTCCTCCTACTTTAAAGTGTGACCCAACAATAACACCAGAAGAGGTGACACTCAGCTCCTTTATATTCTTTAGGGTGACACCTGATCCCACAATGATTGGCAAATCACTGATTACTTCTCGTACTTCTTGTACTGAAATTGGTGAGGGTGGTTGACCTGTGCTAGAGCCTGTAATGATTAGTCCATCACTTTTAAAGAATTGTGCAGCTTTTGCTGTTTCGCCAAGTGAAACATCAGAGGTGATTGAGTGAGAACTACAATAAAGAGACACATTAAAGCAAATAGTGATTCAATTTGTAAACTAAAATGAATCACTATTTTGCCAAATATAAATCCAAAGCTTGATGCTCACTTGTAATGGCAGAAAATATAACATATACTGTGGTTAAACACTGGCTTACGCAAAGGCTCTACATCAGGGTTTTTGTCAATAAGTTTGTTTTTTAATCATTACTATTACCATTACTTCACAAAAATCTTCATTACATTACCATTACCATTACAATTTATAAGTTATACCACCAATTATATTATCATTATTATTGAAACTACCTAAATTACCATTACCATTACTTTAGAAAGTGTACTACATTTGCATTACAATTAGCACAAAATTGCAAGAAACTGAAAGCTTGTGATTATAATAGTAATTTTATTTTAAGCTTTAAAAACTTAATGTTAATATACATGTAGAGTTGACTTTAAAAGGAGTTTTTCAAATTTTTTTGGTATTAAAAGAGCACATGCTAACTGTCACACTCTAGTTAGCAAGTTAACACTAAGACATAACCAGTGACTGATAGCAAGATGCTCTTGCTGATAGTATAGTGATAACACACACCATCTTACTTAATCCATGCAATTACCTATTATCATTACCAATACCTTATCTCTACTATTAATTACCATTTGCCATTACCAATAGAACAAAATTAGCCATTACAATTACCATTACCATTACAGCTAAAAAGTAATATTACCTAATTAATTACCATTATAATTATCATTGCAACAACCCTGCTCTACATGCACACTGCACAGTACTGATATTAGTCAAAGTTAATGTATACGCGTGTATGTCTGAAGTACATACACATTGTACTTTAGTAGTATAATAATAGCCTAATAGAATGTAAACTTATATCTGAGCAGTACAATACATACTGTAAACATGCATCTTAACTTTAACCAACTCCCTAAATTTTTCAAATACAGATATAATGGTAAATAATAAAAGAATGTACATGTCATACTTGGTTACATGTCAAAGACAAACACAACAAACACTAACAACCTGTGTTTTTTCTTAATATCTGTCCACACCATAATGTCTTCAGCACCAATATTTCTTCTATAGCGCAACAATTCACCAGCACATGACTCCATTAATCCTTCATCGGCCACATGTGCAAAAACATAACCCTCTACTCTAATAAACTGGGCCCCAGTTGAATGAGCTACAGCTAAAGACTCTTTATGGGCACCTAATGAATAAAAAGCAAGGAATAAAGCAAAAGCTAAACAAAGTGTCATATTAATTATCAGCTTTAACAATATAATAATAGCTCAATAGTGAATAGGGTACATGTACATGTACATGTAAATACACTATAGTACAGAAAAATAAAATTCAATAGAACTCTTTCAGTGTAATAACAGTGAAATCAAAAAGTACACGCCTAATAAATACTGAATTTATATCAACAATAGCAACAGTCATCAAAATAACAACAAAGCATGTACGACAATGTAAGCATAAAAAGGCATCAATAAGAGAAAGGAACATTTGGCTATACATACATGTACATTACATGTATAGACAGGTGCATGAAATACAGGTGACAGGTGAGCACATCTAATCAATACATGTACTGTACATCACGAGGAATACTGAGGCATATCACAACATACAGTACAGTGGGACATACTGGCAAGGAACTAAATTTGGGAAGTTGGTAAATTTCAGAAAGATGCCAAATTTAAACTCATTATTGATTTCTTGCCAATACCATGTGATCAAAGCTGATTAAATCACAAGCAAGGTAGCAAATTAATCTACATGTATTTCAACAAAATCATATTTTTACCACAAATAACCACAAAGGCATGATTAGGAAGAGTATAATGTATCTTTCAAAGGAGCACATAAACAGATTACGGAAATAACATAGTACAATCTCACAATAATCATACTGCTTCCTATATACCTTGTCAACAAGGGGCAAATACATGTACATGTACATGTAAAATTGGCAGAAAAGTATGATTATGTGACAACATTTATATTAATCTGAAAATATCTGTATTCCTAACCAGCAAACATATGTAGTTAATTTTACCCACCACCACCATGTTACACAGTGCATGCATACCACAAAAAAAGGTACAGAAAAATCCTGTCGTACCCCTTACAAGCCCAGCTCATATAGTAACTTGTAAGGGACATAATACATGTAACATTGGCAGTGAACCTGACAATATTTGTATTCCTAATGGCAAGTCAAAAGAATCTCGAATTTCACTTGCTACACGAGTCATTGCTGCAACTATTTCTGGACCAACCTTTCCTTTCATGTATGGTACATCATGCATATTCTCTATAATAAGACCGTCCTACATAAAAGGATATTACAAATTAATGTTATAATAATAGCAGCCTTAATATACTAAGAATTTAATTTTATTGAGTTTCAGCTAATAGATCAGGTAGTTTAAGTAATTCAATTGATTTTTCTTATGCCCATGTGAATTATGCAACTAGTATACTCATCTTGATTTCAGACAATCAATTAAACCTAATCCCTACGGCATACCCATAAAATGCAGTAATGCACATACATGTACAGATAGCTTCTCACTATTCTCTTCCTTCAAAGCTATTCTAGCTTCCTTGTCACTAGTAAATGACAACCACCCATAAAAAATTACACATATTTTAATCTGAAAAATTATTCTTCTGGAGCTGAGCAAAATCAATAATTACAATTACCAATCCATATTTATTGTAAATTCTTCCTTCTTGGCAAGCTTGAAAAGCTATCTCCTTTAATTTTTGACCATCATACCCAGGTGTTCCTAATAATAGCACATAAACACTGTTTACAAAAATAATTCATACCAGGTAAAGGTGAAAGATGTATCATTCCTATCACGACAGGCCTTTTACTAAACATACTGCCAAACAGTCTTCCAAAGGCCTCCATTTCAGTTTTTACACATGTAAACTTAAGATAATACCCCTATCACAAAGCTAAAGAATTATTTTTTTCAATGTAATGTCCTCTTATGAAAAGTCCTTGTGATTTGTGGGAGGTCACATCACTCACATGCGATATGCAGAGGCGGGACAGCACTGCCCATTCTGTTCTTTAATTAGAATGGTACCTCGTGCATGTGAATCGTTTTGGCTGACGCAATATCACCATTTTTCAGCATTTTGACCATAATCCACCTTGTATAGATGGCTGCTCCTGAAGAAACTGAAAGTCTTGAGCAAGTAATTTTTCCCACGTTACTTTCAGTCTTTATTTTTCTCACTCCCCTTCTCTGTTAGTTGAGTTTGGAGCTTAAGAGCAAGAAAAAGAAGAAAAAGAAAGTTGATATCACTAGTCTTGAATCTGATTTAGCTGGCCTAGCGGCTATTCAACCACAGAATGCGACTGGGCATGATGGTTTGCCTGCCACTGATAATAGTGACAGTGCTCCATTATCATCATCTGGTGTAACTTCAAAAGTAATTTTAAAGTGAAATAGTCTACAGTAGGCAACTTTTTGTGGTCTGTGCCTTTGTTCTGTATTTCTTAACACGTGCACCAAATGCCTTGGTCCTCATAAATGAAACAACCGGTAAAATGTAGGAGTAAAGGTACACCTGTACTTTCAACAAAGTTGCCTGTTGTACATGGTTTTATATGTACATGTGACTTGATTCTTGAATATTACATTTCTATTTTTTGCTATAGGAGCCTATGAAAGACCTGGTAAATGAAACAGGTTGGTGAGTTAATGTAGTATTGATGATAGTGATTATTAGCTTGTAGTTGTAGCTTTAAAAATTAACCGCCATGGCCTATAGTATTTGTGACTATGTGCAAACAAGAGGTAAATGTAACATGATACCACTCATTTATGGACACTTAGGAGGATGGTGTTGAAAATTTGTAACTAAAATTCCCATGTTATTAAATCCATAATGCTGTTGTTATTTTATGACAGTGGGGTCAGTTACATTTTGTCTTTCTTACATGTGTTTATGTTAATTTTCATGCACTTTTTGGAGTTGAGGTCCAAGCTTTGCAGAAAGTTTTTATCTCACTTTTGTGCATAAAAACTTGTTATTTGTTAATTGTTATTGATTTATCTATTTGCAGCAGCAAACTTGTGATTGCCACACATACATGTACATGTGTATCCTTATTTTTGTTGATTTAATTATCACATGGACTCTGAGGTATATGTGTATCCTATATTTGTTTATTTTAGACTTAGATCTCTACTTAAGTACAAGCAAGAAAAAGAAAAAGAAAGCTCCTAAAATTAATGTAAACTATACTTGTACATCATAGTGTACTAATTACTTATACTATAAATTATACATGTATACCTCTATGTTGCTGATGGCTTGGTTGCAGATATGTTTATTGTCGCTGGCATCATGTGTGTGTGTGTTGTGTCATGCCATTACAACTGTAATGAGTTGCATGCAATTCTTTTCTACTGCATTTTATTATTTATGGCAATTTTTATTTCTCATTTACAAGACTTTTATTGCTGTCATTTAGGAATTAGTAGCTGTTGAAAGTATAGATCAACCTTTGCAAGTCTCAGAACCTCCAGCTCTCTCTGCTTCTGCAGTAGTTGCTCCCAAACCATCAGAAACATCACCAGTGTCTTATGATTATTCATTACCATTGAAAAAAAGGAAAAGGAAAGCTGTAAGCATAATAGTATTACTTGTTTCATCATTAGTGTGTGATACCTTATAGTGGGTAATTTTCGACTGGTGCTTATTTTTGTCTGTTTCATTGCTATTAATTCTGAACGAAAATTAATTCTGATGAAAATTAATTCTGATGAAAATTAATTCTGAAGATAGGCATGACCATAATAAATTATTAATAACATGATAACAAGCATGGATGGCCTTGAAAACAGTGTTCACCTTCTAAAGAATCTCTTCCAGACCCTACAGGACCAGGGAACCTCTTTCTAATGCTGTCAGTCCATGCAGATGCTAATGAAGACATCAGATCAATTATTTTTGTCTAGTCGAAAATAAAACCAAATTTTTATTCTAAAGTCATTTCTGGTTTTAGTTGAAATTTTCAACAACCGAAAATTACTCGCTATACGGTACATGTACTTACAGATACATGTACGCGTATGCTTTATACATTGTATTGTAGGATATCACATTTGAAGGATATCATGAGGTATTAGCTGAAGAAGGTGTTGAAGTTGTGAAAGATGATGCAATGGATGGAGATGATGACATTGATTTGATGGACACATCCTCTTGGGCTGGCTCAGATCGTGATTATACCTATGACGAGGTAAGTGAAATACATTTATGTGTAAGAATTAATAAATGTGTACATGTACAGTGTAGATATAAAAATAATACATTTATGTGTGTGTGGCTAATTGGCTACATTGAAGTTTTCAGTTAGCAAAATGTGACACTGTACTGATTATGCTCCTTTATTATTACAGCATGATAAAATTTATAAAGAAATTACCTTTCTTTCCTTTTCTTCAGCTACTAGAGAGGGTATTCAATATCATGCGTCAAAAGAATCCCAGTATGGTAGATAGGAAGACCAAATTAGTGATGAAGCCACCACAAGTGATGAGGGTGGGAGCTAAGAGAACGTCCTTTGCTAATTTTCCTGAAATTTGTAAATTGTTAGTCATTTTCATTGCTAGTTTTTGTGTACATGTGTATAATTATGATTCATGAAGATGTACATGCACACACGTTTGTGTACATGTACATGTATATCCCCTTCACATTCCCTCCTATGCTGTAGATTGCATAGGCAACCTAAACATTTACTGGCTTTCCTGCTAGCAGAGTTAGGAACAAATGGTTCAATTGATGGTAATAATCAGCTCATTATTAAAGGACGGTTTCAACAGAAACAAATTGAGACTGTACTACGACGCTACATAAGTGAGTGCCAAATGAATTAAACTCAGACAGTGAAATTCGCATGCAGTTATTGTGTTAAAAAAGATTATTGTGAGTATAAATTGTTGTACCTTTTTAGTCTATTTGTGTTTACAACTATTGGCAATGCTGATCCTAAAAGCTACCATCTCTTCCATATATGATATGTTTCTTTAATTTTAGAGGAATATGTAACATGTCATACATGTCGATCACCTGATACTAGCCTTCAAAGAGAGAACCGATTATTCTTTCTGCAGTGTGGCACTTGTGGCAGTCGCTGTACAGTTGAAAATGTTAAGTCAGGATTTCAGGCTGTAACCAATAGAAGAGCAATAAGACAACAGCAATGATTCATTGTTATTGTAATTTTATTTATTATTACTTACATGTACATCAGTACATGTACTATTGAGTTACTCTTTCCTCCCTTATTCTCGTCTTTTTTCATTATTGTTAAAATAAAAGTGGTTTTTATCTTCATAACAGTTTGTTTAACATTATCAATAATAAGAACTACTAAGAGATCCTATGAATTTTACCTTAGTCTGTTGTGTAAAGGCGTGGTTAGCACGTGATTTATTATGATTATGTGTAATTAGCCAGTTGTCCTCGCCTCCTCTTCGACCTTTTAGTTCATTATTTGAAGAATGAGCGAGGAGGAAGATAAGAGGCCTACTCGTGGCCTCTTTGATTTCTCAGATGGAGGACGTTATCAAGGAGAGTGGTTCTGTGGTGGGGCTCATGGTTATGGCGTCTGTAGCTTGCCTGGTGATGGTGGTTCCTCGTTTGAAGGCTATTGGGAAGAAGGGAGCCAAAAGAGTGGTGTATTTACTTGGTCCAGTGGGCATAAGTACATAGGAACATGGCAAGATGGCATGAGGCATGGACTGGGAAAAGAGGTGAGTAGAGTTGATACATGTACTATACATGTACATGTTCTTGTTTGTAACTAACAATCTGTATCGGTTCCTGTGGGCTTATCGTCGGGTCATGCTTGTGTAGGGATGTATGGGACAGGTAATTTGAATTTGACTACCAATGTGTCATTACATACAGCAAAGGTCTTAGCACTGTTGGTATCTTGGTCGATAGTATTTGGCTGTACATCACAATCTGTGAATTTTTGTGCCCATAAGTAAAATAATTAGGCAGTGACTACAGAACCGTAAATGGTTTCCGTTGCGAAGTGCTTAAAGAGCCGGCATCCCGTTTTTCTCCGTAAAATAACCTTGTGCGCATGTGCATTGATGCAAATTGGAACTTAGTTTTTATCATGGATTCCTGAACTAGAGGACGCTCTAGAATAATTAAAAAAAAACTAAACCATAAACCCGACCTTGGGGACTCCTAACATAACTATGGGACTCCTAAAGTGACTAAGGACGCTCTAAAAAAAAACCGCCACCCTAACCCCTAAACCCTAAAAACAATAGCTAACTAGGGGACTCCTAACATAACTAGGGGACATGCTAACTAGGGGACTCCTAAACTAGTGGAAAAGGTAAAAATGAAATTGTATATAAGTAGATAAATGAGATTCGAACCAGCACCGCCCTACGTCCAAATGCAGCATTCAGCTCCCTGTAGCTTGCCCGCTGTGCCACCACGATCCCACTGCCAAAATCCACCTTGTTGTCATAATTATACTGATTGCTCCTATATAGGAGGCCAGGCCCCTTACCGGCTCTATAAGCCGTTGTTAAAGGAAACCGTTTACGGCGCAGGAGGCACTGCCAAATAATTATTATATCCATACTGTATGCATGTACATGTATGTGGTGGTTTTAGTGGTAGTTAATTTTCCTTATTTTTCAATTTTTTGTGCTCACCATAAATCCAAAAAGTTTAAACCACATTCTATTGTCACAAATGATCCCTTTTCATTGTTTTAAGTGCTTGAAAATTTTGACGTGTGTGGTATAGTGCTTTCCAAAACTGTTTCTTCAGGATTTCAATCTATTGAGTTAAATATTGAGAAATTGGCACATCTACAAGTACATATGTGTATTACTATATTTTTACTTTGTAAAGATACATGTACATGTGCATTGCAGTTTTGCCTTGCCCTTTATGGGTAATTGTTTGTAATTCTTGTTCTAGACTTTAGTAGACTACCAGGCTACAAGTCTTGTTAAAATAGTAGTACAAGCAGTTAATCTACAAGTTATATCTACTCTAAGCAAGGCTTTCCTTATAATAGTAAATATTTTGAGGTGGAAACTGCATGAGATAAAAAGAAGCGTCTGAAATATATTGTTACCTTAGGTATGAGTTTCAAGCAATACTACATTTCTCATGCTTTCTGATATTATGTACTATGTACATTTTATGAGTACAATTCACATGTACATGTACATTGTATTCTTGTCCACTTATTAGGTGCTTGTTTGATTTTGTAGGCATGATTGACATTACATGTTAGTATAGAGTTATTTTGAATTGTTTATTTTTTCTCTTTAGCTTCGACCAGATGGCACAGAATATCTAGGTGACTTTAGTTCTAATGTACGTGGTCCAAATGGTGTTCTTAAATTGTCAAATGGTGCTTTATATCAAGGCACTTGGTCTGATGGACTACAGGATGGGATTGGTGTAGAGATTTATGCTGATAAAGGTAGTTTATGTTAATGGACTCTAATACATACACAATGTATTCTTGTCATTATTATGTGGCACTGTGTCATAATGTATCTGGTAATTGTCCAACTTGTACAGGTTCGTGTGTGATACACTGGTTGTTTTTGTAACTACATGTACATGTACATATAATTGTGACTTTAATTGACAAGAGGCACCATGGACTACTGAATTCATCATTATAATGAAAATAAATCAAGTTTTATATTTTCTTCGAAAAGCATTGTTTGCAAAGTTTGTTTTTCAATGGAGCACAGGAAGTTAAATTTTTCCGCTATTAAAACAAATTTTATTATCCACCATAAGGTACCTTTTGTCAATTACTGTCACAATTATTAAAGAATGTATCTTACATGTACTGTATTTCCTTGAGTAAAATCTTTATTCTGCATTCCATATGGGGAGGCTACTATTTTAAGGCACACATTATTTGAGAGAGCGATTGATGCTAATGTGATTGGAAGAATTACATGTGTATGCCTCTGCTTTTAATAGAGCTAAGCGTAGCTCACAAGTCTCAGTAACATTATGCATTTGTGGATCTACAGTTACATGTGCAGTGTACATTATGTTATTTTCATAGTACATACATGTACATGTAACTGCATCTACATGTACATGTATGATATTATACCGTATGGCTAGAAAATTTCGAGGGCATAAATTTTCGTGTTTTAGTGAAAAGCTCTTAATTCTTTAATTTTGAGGGAGTTAAATTTCACGTTTTTGCACGTGCACTTGCATTAAGTCATTGATTTTCACATGCTGCGCATGCGCAGTGAGCATTTCCATGGTATTAATTTTTGTGGTTAAGAAGTTACCCACAAAATCCGCAAAATTAAATACCCCACGGAATTTTTTAGCCATACAGTAAATAATCATTCTTTCTGATTAATGACATCATTGTTGATGCAGGATGGATATTCTGTACTCTACATAGTCCACTTTGTAGAGTGCAGTAAGTTCAGTAACTATATTTCCTATGAATGTACACATGCACTACTGCTTTAAATGAAGTGTGAGGCAAGAGTAGCTAGTAGCTGAAGGAGTCTTGTTATTTACAACGTAGTTTTGTTTTATTTAGACAGTTAATCATGACATTGTTTGAGTACAAGTTTATTCAGCGTATCATAAACTTAAACATTAGTTAAGAAGTGTACACACCCACACTATTAAGTGACTGTGCATATAGATGTACATTGTATGTAGCTAATCTTTTGTATTAATAATTTCTTCCCATACTTGTACACATTGTCTCATTCTTTCTCTTAGGTGTTTATAAAGGTCAGTATAAGAAGGGTCAGAGAAATGGTTATGGAACTCGTTCCTCATCAAATTATGAAGTTTATTCGAAATTGATGCAACCTAGAGAAAGTCAAACAACTGACATCATTGCATCATCAGTCGCTCCATCTTCCTCTCCAACAATTTCACATTCTTCGTCTTTCAGGGTCAGTAAAGGCAGTAATCCTACACAACTACAAACAGGTCCTTCTGTGTCATCATTGAAGTATGTTGCAGAGCCAACAACTGACTCAGACACTCAAATTTATGAGGGACAATGGGAAAAAGATAAAAGGGAAGGACACGGGATTCTTAAAATACCTGGACGCTACTCTTATCTAGGACAGTGGAAAAACAATGGTCGATCTGGTTATGGTGTTGTCCTTCATGAAAATGGTCGAAAAGATGAAGGTCTCTGGGAAGAAGGAAAACTGGTCCTTCCTCTTAAGAGAAAAAGGCTGTCCTATAAGCACCATCAGTTAGAAACAAAAGTTAAAGCAGCACATACAGCTGCACTTCAAGCTGCTGATGTTGCTCGCACTAAGTCAATCTTAGCTGAGAGTCGTTCCTTAGGTGTTGTCAAACGGTCTAATGCAGCATCAGTCAGTGCACAGAAAGCTGAAGAAGATGCAGCAAAAGCTAAAGAGGTCTCTCAATCACTGTCAGGTGACAGTGGAACTAAAGCAACAGGAAAGCTTCACTCCTCCTTCCCAACTCCAACTGATTTCAACCTGTCAAATAGAGATACATGTATTTCAACTCCAGCAGACAGTCTTCTCTCTGTGCCTGTTCTGTCATCTGCTTCAAGTTTTGAAGATATGGCTAGCCTTCAAGATCATGATGAAAATTTAAAACCAAATTTGTCATCATCTTCATGTTCAGGCTCAGATATTGAAGGAGAAGAAAAGGCTTCTATGTTTGACTGTGACACTGTGTCAGTTCAGAGTGATCCCTGTGGGGGCATTTCTATCAAGGTCAGTGAAGAAGAAGAAGAAGAATTTAAACCTGTTAGAGATCTTTCATCACGCAGTAAAAGAGCGTCGGTCCCTTCTTCTGCTAGAAGTAGACACAGCATTTCTTCTTATGATGCCAATAAGTCAAAGTCCAAATCGTTTTTTAAGCAGCATAGACTGCTAGAAGAGGATGAAGGTGAAGAAAGAGAAGGGGAAGAAGCACAAATGGAAACTGTTAGGAGAAGATTGAGTCACATGAATGCACCTAGAGTTGATCAAAGTACAGGTTAATAAAGAGAATGAATGACTAGAGCAATATTAAATTTATGAGCCTAGTGTACTCTTTTTTGCTTGTACTGTACATGTTATAAGTAAAATGTAGTTACAAATTTCAAATCGTTGATTTATTAGAGTTGTTTATTTTATATTTTGAATGGAGCCTGAGCATGGTCACCACTTGGTGTATTGGTTGTATGCATGTAGTTTTACCCGTAATATTGATAGTTGTCAAAAAAAATTGTCCTGCTTTGTTTTTAGAAAGGATTAAAGTAAAACACATGCATGTACAAAGTCAGGAGAGCATAAAGCAAACTTCAATTGTTTTGAAAGAAACTACTGTAGTATAATTTTAATTCAGATCTAATTATGTATGATTGCTTCTCAAAATTGTGTGTATTGACTATATCCCAACTCAATGCTCCATTTTATTTTTAATGACTTACATGTACCTGTACCATCATTTGTTTTATAGGTGAAGTGACTAATTTGACAGATACGGATGACGAAACCCATGAAACAGGCAGGTTTGGAAAACCTGATCATTTAAGTAGACAAGCAAGTCTTGCTGGATCATCTCAATTTCAACAGTCTCCCTTACAACAGTCACTGAACATGGATATGTTGGTAAGATAATTTGCTACCATTTTAAGTGCCAATGTAAAGATTTTGCTTGTCACACTTACATGTACATGTACATGTACATGTACATGTACATATGTGTACATGTACAAAGTCTTGCTTGCATAACATACATGTACATGTAGATATAAACTACTCTTTTTAAAGATGCATGTATATCTTATAGGTACATGTACTGCATTAGTTAGTACTGAGCCTGGAGTTACAATCAGTATCACACTTTCTGGATTATTCTCCAACTAGATTTATCTTTTTGTGCTGCCATTTAACAGTTATTAGTATATACTGACTTTAGCTGGGTATATGCTTGAATATTGGACTGCTGGGCATGAATAAAAATTAGTATAGGCCACTCAAAAGTAATTTTCCTTCTGCTACTGATGCAATGGTAGTTTTATATTATACAGTTGATACTTGTGATAATGAATATACATGAAATTAAGATTAATAATGAAATGGAAAAGTATAGATGGCCTATTAATTTTCATGTGCTTGTGATTTTATTTAATTATGGGGTTCTCACTTGGTCGATTTTAGTTGGCATAAAGTACACATAAGTACACAATAAAGTACACATGTACATAATTTTAACCATTTGTGCTGTGTGCCTACTCAAAGTGCATGACCATCTTTCACCCTTTGTTATAATATCACCTAAATCATTACTAGCAGAATTTGAAACATGATTAAGGTGTTTTGCTACATGCATGTAAATTGACCTACAATCGTAAGGGCTTTACCCAGTCAATTAATTTTTTTCAATTTTATGTTGAATTTTTCCAACATACAGTATTATTTACAATCACTTTAATTTGTAAACTAAATTTTATTTATTCTTTTTTAGACACAAATGGTGAACTGGAACAAGACTGTAGCTTACATCAATTTTATTCTCTTGATGTTTTTACTCCTTCTCATAGTTATACTTGTAGCTTTCTTAACAACTAACTTGTCCCAGAATAATCCTGCTTCTTTCATGAATCATATGGCATAATCTTTGTTTTGCTATAATGTAGAATTTGTTTCAGTTCTCAATCTCTTATTTGTAATTGTGATTACAGTATTTGTGAATTTAATAAAAATTTAATGTAAAATTTAGCAATAATAATATTTTTTCATTCAGCAAGCAGATACAACAATATTGACAGTTTTAGCAGCTAGCAAATACTTTCAAGGTAAATGCATGTATTGTGTTAAAGGCTTGAACAAGCATCTGGCTTGTTAGGACCAGTGTAAGCTTTGCAGATAACTGATATCAGAGCAAAACCTTCAGCTTGAGCATCATGCTACAAAGAGAAAGAAATAATTGATAGCAATCATTATTACCATTTGTACACGTGTACCTTGCCATTTACAGTAACCCATGGAGTGTATCGATGAGGTGGCTCAAGATTAGCAGTAGTATTATAAGCCATCATTTGTAACTGAGTACCTAGTGATCCATCAGTACAAGTCTTGATCTTATCCCAATCTAATCCTTGTTGCTTAGCACAATTAGAGCCTACTTCAAGATCCTGTTCCTGTCCTTCCTCATCCATGCAATGTATAAATGGCCAGAAGTCCTTCCTGCAAAAACACTGTAATTGAAATTCCACCCTTACTCATTAAAAAATTAATTCTGTTGGGCACACATATTATGTAATAATCATGACACTCGTAACACTAACCCAGTTTCTAAGGCAATAAAGGCTACCCTAACTTGCGATTGCCAGCTTTTTATTTTGATTTGGTGGATTTTGTTAGAGATATTGTTTCGTGCATGACTAATTAATTGCACGCATTACAACAGACAGATAAGTCATAAAAGGAGTATGTACATGTAGTCAATTACATGTAGCTGTCAACTTCTTTAGCTATATATATCAAGAGTAGATAATAATTAGAGGAGAGTGTCCTACTGTGCAATACCCCCTGCTTCATCACGGCGTAGAATTGAAGAGTCACATTCAGGATACTTTCAGTATTTTTGAGTAGTTATTCAAAAATAACTATCAATAACTACTCTAACCCAATGAAAATATGGAAATATCCTGAATGTGACTCTTCAATTCTATGCCGTGATGAAGCAGGGGGTATAGGCACAGTAGGACACTCTCCTCTAATTATTATCTACTCTTGATAATATGTAATTAAAATAATTAATTATGAGGTTACGTTATTCTATTGGCACTTTTTTGTTTATCTTTCATAATCCTAAGATACCTCTCTCACCATCCATCCATACCTATCTGGATAATAATGAAGGAGACAAGCATCAACCTTGTTAATAAGACACTCCATAGGACCATGTTGACATTTAAGAGTACCGTCAGACTGAAGCTTAGCATTACCACTAGGAACATATGTTAGAGTAAATATTGAGCCAACCTGAAACAAAAGAATAAAACCAATCACAGCTACAATAAAATACAGCAAAATATAGCAGCATGCACAATGCCCTTTTCATACTTATAGCCTAGCTACATGTACCCCATATTGAGACTATCAACCTCGGGCTACCTTGTCAATGGCAACATTCATTGGTCCCTTGGAAAATGCAAGGCAGTCAGGACAGAGGGACTCAGCGTAATAGTTGACAGCAACTAGGTCATCTGCAAATGCAGTGAATGTACACAAGGAGAGAGAAAAAGTTAGAAGACAAAGATTTAGATTAACCATTTTTTTGCTCTGTTGTACTACAAGCAATGAGTTGTGGGGGCGTTAACATAACCTTTCAGTCACGTGATCACGTGATAGTAACGCCCTCAAAACGCCTCCCTCTCTCGTGACTTGTGAATTTTTGACCTGACCTCAAGTCCTCATTCAACTTCATTGTAAAGAAAGGAAAGGTTGCTGGATGAAACCGTCGAAATATGTTGTACTATAGACATATTTTGCCGGCTTTGAGGTAAATTTCGGATTGTATAAGTTTATACAAATAGCTTCTTGTAGGTCCCCCTTAACTTTTAGAAATTGCCGGTTGTTGTCGTCGGTTTTCACTTCTCCACAGTTACAATCACTCGGGGAAGGCGTTAAGCAGTTTGTAAAGGATAATGTGGAACTGTGTCAACCAGACAGTATTCATGTTTGTGACGGCTCGAGAGATGAAAATCAGAAACTTTTACACAAGCTTCAGAAAGAAGGAAGACTAACAAAAGTGACGAAATATGACAACTGGTATGAACAATAACTAAAGAATGACTTGTAGTAATCATATTGTTCATCATATTGTTAGTTATTTAGCGAGAACAACAGTTGAGGATGTTGCTCGAGTTGAAGGCCAAACGTATATATGTTCTGAGAGAAAAGAAGACACTGTGCCTACCCCAAAGGAAGGTGTTGCACCAATACTTGGAAACTGGAGATCACCACAAATAATGGATAAGGAGTTGACAGAGAAATTCACAGGCTGTATGAAAGGTGAGATTAGTGCCTATCTTGTGTGGAAATACAATGTAGATGTGTTTGATTTGTCTAATTCTTTTTTATTCTGCAAATGTTTGCATACGTAACTACATGTACATGTCTGTTAAAACTTAGACACACAAGACAATGAGTTACTATTTGTTGAATAAGAAGAGTTGTCTGCAACATTTGCCAATTGTATACCCTTGTTACATCATGTAGAGTATCATTATTTTACATGTACATACTTTGTATTTATGCATTGTCAATTATTCACTCTTTCTGTTAACAGATGTGAATGTCAATTGTGTTTATACATGTAGTTGTTATTAATTTATTATTTACACTTAAGTCTTGAGGTTTCTGCATTTTGTCACTGATTTCACTAATAGTAGCTATTATATTTTATTTTTAGTGTTTTAATCTGCTTTCATTCTACTATCTTAGGTCGTACTATGTATGTAATACCATTTAGTATGGGACCTGTGGGCTCTCCACTTTCTAAATATGGTATTCAACTCACCGACTCAGAGTATGTTGTTGCTAGCATGAGAATAATGACAAGAATGGGTGGACCAGTACTTGATAAGATTGGTGATAATGGACAATTTGTAAAATGTCTGCACTCAGTTGGTTATCCTTTGCAGCCAGGAGATAAGGATCCTGTATGGCCTTGTAATCCAGCAAAAATTGCTGTAGCTCATTTTCCAGAGAGAAGTGAAATTAAATCGTTTGGAAGTGGATATGGTGGTAATTCACTGCTTGGAAAGAAGTGTTTCGCTCTTAGGATAGCTTCCATACTTGCAAGAAATGAAGGCTGGTTGGCAGAACACATGCTGGTGAGGATACATGTGTGTACTTTTATGTACATGTACACATGTACATGTATTCACACAATGACTATTGTTAGATTACTAAACCCAATAATACATGTATGGGACATGTACTACATGTACATACATGTATGCTAGACAATTGTATAGTGACAATTTTTAGTGTCACTAATGTACATGTACTTTTACATTTGTAACTTTATTATGTAGTCGAATTGCTGGAAGCACATACATGTACATGTACATGTAGTACATGTAGATATACTAGCTGTACATGCATGTGCATACAAATCTTGGTTTCTGATTCTTTTCCCTCCTCCTTAGTCAAGGATACCAGTTAATAATATAATTACATGTATAGCACATTTAATGATAAAGGTCAACTCAAGTCATGGCAAGATCATCACATTTTGCTAGCACATTCTTAAAATGTGTTATACTTGCTATCTCTGTCATAATTGTGACAATACATGTACTGTACATGCATGTAATTGTAGTTTATATTGAATAGGTAGTAGTAAGTGTAGTTGCAATGTTTGCCAACAGAAAGAGGATGATGTAGCATAATATTGACACTATAAATTTTTGTGGCATACATGAAAGGAATATGAGGAAGTACATGAAAGGATTATGACGTTATGCGTGTAAAATTATCGAAATTGTCATGGGGTGTCAAACAAATAATTATGTACGTGTAAGTTTCCGTTTAAAATTGCCATTGCCTTTTTGTTGAGCACAATTTTTTAATAAGAATGAGAAGAAAGAATTTTGAAAATAATTATGCTGTACAATGCACTGTACATACTGTAGATGTGCAATGAAAACAATACTAGAATGGAAAGATGAAGCCAAGCCTGATTTGCATTAAACAATACATGTACATGCATAATTATTATACGAATAAATTAATTGTTACTTTTTTACCCTTTGTTTTTAATTATAGTTTTAACCTTTTTAAAACTAATGTGGTGTTGTGTGAAAATCACCACTTTGCTTTTTTATTTCTCTAATACATTTGAAATTGTTCTGCCTATGGTGGTCGGGGGTGGTAGGGACAAACACCTCAACAAATGAACTAACTAGTTCATCACTTAAACCAACCGTGCAATTAATACTAATAATCATACATAAAGCATGATATTGTAGTCTACTAGTATGGTATACATAAATTTAAAAGGAACAGTATTAGCCTCCAACCACCTCTAATTTTATTCTAGGCAGAACTCTGAGCTGAGTTACTGTAATCACCTCAGTATTTCACTCTTGGTTTTACTGTAATAGTGTTGTTGACCAGATTGTTGAGCAGCTTTAAAAATTTGTTGAAAAAATCTAATTTTGACCAGAATCAGTTCAAAATTTTATTATTATAATGGCATTGCTGTAGCAACAGAATTTGAAAGTCACATGTCTATCTTTTTAGATTTTAGGTATTACTAATCCAGAAGGTCGAAAGAGATATATTGCTGCTGCTTTCCCCTCACAGTGTGGTAAAACAAACCTGGCTATGATCACACCTACACTCCCAGGCTGGAAGGCTGAATGCGTCGGTGATGATATTGCATGGATGAAGTTTGGAGATGATGGAACATTAAGAGCTATTAATCCAGAAGCAGGTTTTTTTGGAGTCGCTCCAGGTACTAATCAAAGTTCAAATCCAAATGCGATGGCATCAATTTTGAAAGACACTATATTTACTAATGTTGCAAGTACAAGTGACGGAGGCGTTTTCTGGGAAGGGCTAGAGAAAGAAATCTCTGAAGATGTTTCTATAACACAATGGCGAGGGTTACAGCAATGGGAAAAGCTTACGAAGAAAGAGAAGAGTGTAATCCCTGCCTCACATCCAAATGCTCGTTTCTGTTGCCCAGCTTCAAATTGTCCAATAATTGATGAAAATTGGGAAGACCCTAATGGAGTACCAATAGATGCCATCTTGTTTGGTGGACGGAGACCTAAAACCATCCCATTAGTATACGAAGCTAGGAACTGGGAACATGGCGTATTTATTGGAGCTAGCATGAGATCTGAAGCTACTTCGGCTGCTGAAAATATGGGAAAGAAAATACTTCATGACCCATTTGCAATGCGTCCATTCTTTGGTTATAGTTTCTCACAGTATATGGATCACTGGTTAAGTCTACAGGAAAGGAAGAATGTTACGTTACCGAAAATATTCCATGTAAATTGGTTTCGAAGAGATGCTGAAGGTGCGTTCCTTTGGCCTGGTTTTGGTGAGAATAGCCGGGTATTGGAATGGATATTCCGACGCTGCGACGGGGAAGACATCGCACAAGATTCTGTTCTTGGTCTGATTCCTAAGCCAAACACAATGAATCTGAAGGATCTTGTAGTGAGCCAAAAGAAGATGGAAGAATTGTTTCATACTCCTAAAAATGAACTTGAAGAAGAAGTGAGGGATATTGAAAAGTTTTTTGATGAACAGCTACCTGAACAAGTTCCTTTACCAGTCATGCAGCAGCTTCAGGCCCTCAAGTCAAAAATAGCTCAATCAAATTAGTGAGAGAGGAATTATAGTTATTATTTTTATCTGAACTTATCTATCTCTCTAGCAATTATAATAATTATCCTCAGAATTATTTTAAATTATTTCTTTGCCTTGTTCATTATAATTGTTTATTTATTTCTTGTTAGAAAATTACTATTTTGCCGTTAATATTAGAAGTTGGAATAGTTTAACTCATTATTTCTGAATGAAGTATCACAATTGATGCCAAGAAAAGGCTATTATTTTACTCATTTATACCAACCTTATCTATTCTTGTTAATACATACATGTACATCAATAAACATACTCAACTTTTAGACATTAGATCTGTGTGTGGCTGTGACTTCAAATACTGCTTAAGATACAGGATTATGTACATCGCAATGCATTGATGCCTGATAAAAAATATAGCACTGTCTCAATAGTGCTTATCATAGCACTTAAAAGTATTGCTTAGCAAAAATAACCGCTGGTGAGGCCAATAATCTCACGGTGTATATATCATCTATGATTATACAGACTTTGTATGCTTTTTTAAACGTTCATGCCTTCATAATGCTACATACCACCTAGTCCATTTTGGAATTCATGACACATCATTTTGCTATACAACTACATACTGAACATGTTGCTTACTTAGCCTCTAACATACATGTTATAATAATTATTGTGATGACAAATTAATTTTAGCCAGTGTTATAACTATAATTTCCAAATACATTTATTGCATTATTATTATGAATAATTATTTTCATGATAATTATGATACTTATTGTCATCAATTTTTCTGAATATTTCTGATCTTACTTTCAATCTTATATAATGTATGTGATTACTTTCTAGTGTTGTGTAATGTTATGCAATATGTGTCTGTAATGTATATGATGTAATTGATGTACCGTATAGCACAAAAATTTGGAGGGACAAAAATTTGGCGAATTTGGCAAATAGAGTTTCATTCGCCAAAATAAAAACCGCCATTTTGAGCCTTTATACGCATGCTCAATGGCACGTGGCCACTAATTCGCCAAATTAAAATCCGCCAATAACCAAAATTTAGCAATTCGCCAAATTTTACTCCCTCCAAAATTTCCGGCTATACGGTATGTGTATGTACATGTGCATTTTTCACTTTTAAACAATTTTTCACTTATTGATTAATTAATTTGTTGATTGTCTCTCAACCTTTCATACTTGGTCACAACAGTAACTGAGGCTCCAGCTACACTGCTAGTGAACATGAAGTGGTAGATCTATGAGTATTTGGCTTTACACAGATATTTTGGTGGTACCAACAATACTTATACCAATTGTAATTAGTGACAAAGTTGTAGGAGTTCTCTGCATAAGATGAAAAGGCATACTTGCTAATGACTACACAACTTAAGCTGTCACTAATAGTGCCATCATACTCAGAGTCTGGTAAAAATCATACTATAAATTAGTCTAAATTGTACTTTCCTATACATTTCTGAGACCAATTCAAATATTATAATAATGTATAGATCTACATGTATGTCTCAATAATATTATATGTTCTCCACTTGTCAGACACAGCAATGCAAGCCAACAACATACTATCCACTTCACTGTCTCAGTGACAATAAGGAGTATATGTGACATGCTCTAGAGTCAAAACTGAAAATAGTAATTTTAAATTATTTAATTATCAGTATTAATGAATTGGATTACGACACTCAGGACAATTTTTTAGCATCAGCTTTTCAAAACACACATTATGCACACAATGAAGGCAAGAAAAGAGTTTCACACTTGCAGAGGCCGTTTCAATTTTACAATTGCAAACTGGACACATCACACTCAACTGCTCTTTGATTTCTTTTACTACTTTTGGAACTATTGTGCATGGAATTCCAATTATGCCCAAATCTTCAAGTTCAGGAGTTTTTGCCATTTCTAACATTTCACCATCTATTTGTTCCTTTTTAATGACCTAAAAGAAAACAACAAAATTCAAGATTTAGTTATTGTCAATTACCTCACAAAATTCCTTTAACCTATTATGACGCCAAAATAATTGAGCAACCTTATCAGGAGAAACTTGTCCAAGCAGTGAAACTGAATTAGTCAACCATCTTTTGAAGAGAATGCGAAATTTTAGACGCAGCAGTGCAGTGTGAAGTGCAAAATCTTTCCGTAATATTTCATCATCAGAAAGTAACTCGTAAACCACTAATCCATCCATATCCTCATCTTCACTAAATATCCCTGCAGTCTCATGAAACCCTTCAGCATTCATAAATTCAGCAACATCTTTTGCAGTTTTCATCTCTGCTAATTTTCTTAGTTCTGATTCCTTTGTGTCAATTTCATTTATGAAAGGCACTGGTATTATTGTTTGTGGCAGAGAAGGGATTGACACAACAGAAGAACTTTTCACAATCGGAGGTGGTGTGCTTTCCTTTTGAGGGTTAACCTCTTCAGGTGGACCTTCTGACAAATTGCTTTGACTTTCAGGCTGTTCCTCTCTTTCAAAAAGTTTTCTAATAGAGTTAATTAAAATTATAAGTGACCAAAGTAAACAATGATAAATCTCACTTTCTTAGCTCAAGATGAATGTGTACATAGTATTTGACCGAAACTTTAGGCAGCCAAACAGGAATAATGTCTAACTCTTCATTAATAACTTCACCAATCTAAAATATCTTAACACTTTATTTACAAATAGCACCAAACATACTGCTGTGTCATTGTTGCAACAAGCTTTTTCTACTAAATCCTTCTCAAATTTAAACATAAAATATGCTAGATCTGTCACAATCTTCAGTGTTTCTAAATAAGAAATAAGTATGAAGATACATAAATGCCATTTTATTATATTACTTAACTACCTTGATTTTGCATCCATTCTGTGATGTCATGCTGTATATCTTCAACTAGATGACTCTTCATGCAAAAGGGTAGGTGGTGGAAATCATAGTAACCAATTTCTAACCAATCTTGGAAAAACTTAGTCAGATAAACAACAGCGTTCAAACGCGTATCACTTATAAACTTGTATTGACTCTCACTTAAACTATAATGCAAAATAAAAATAAAAGAATACTAGCTGTTATAATAAATAATAATTATACCAGTACCTTGATCTAGTTCGATCAGCTGAATGTTTTACAATACCAACATGATTTAAAGCATCATTCATATCACTACAGCTCTCACTTAGAAACTCACAAATAGTTAAACTTCTCAACGAGTAGATATGAGTGTCATCAACTTTAGGAATTTTCTATAAATAATTAATGTTAATCATGCTGTCAATAAATTTCACAATAATAATTTTTACAATTAATGGCATTGATGATGTTTACTGATAAAATTTAATCAAAGTGTACTTCATCAAAACATTTTATTTTGGGATTAAGCCACAAAACCAAAGTTATCAATTTACTTCAAGTATCTTTTGAAGAATCAAGAATAAACCACTGCACAATTCCACAAGACTATCATGATTAAGTGAATGAAATGTATTCTCAAGTTCTATAACACTAGGTAGCAATGCCTGTAAAGAAAATTGATTTTTTTCCTTTCAAAATTTTAAACAACCTCATCATTTGGATCAATGTTTTCATTTATGGTGGAAATTTCATCTGCTTTCTTAAAAGATATTAATATAATACAACAACAAAAGTACTGAAAACATACATCTTTTGCCAGATGTGGATATTGTGCTTCAATTATTTCAATCACTTCCTTGTAATGAACTGATGAATGAAATCTAGCAACAAAATCAATAAATACAACAATAAACAATAGCTAGTTCTTACAAGCTTTGCGGTGAAATATTCTGCATGGATTTGTAAAAATCAAATTTTTTCCAAAAGTTTTCAAGGCTGATTTTTTGTTTGTGAGATATGAAGAGTGAAAATATTTCATTCTGAATTGCTTTGAAGTGAAATACCTATGCATAACAACTGTCACTCACAACATTGAAGATGTAAAATTAAAATAATTCTATGAGGCATAATAATTAAATCAATATTATACCTTTAGTTCATAAACATACTGAAGTAATATAAGTACATTTTGTAATTCAATAACTAAACTATGCCATTCAGAAGCTACACTGTTGAGCTATGAACATTTCAGAAACATAAAATGTTGGTTAAACACCATGTGAGCCCAAAATAATTCTTAATCTAACATAATATAGAAACAAAAAATTGATGACAACATGATTGGAATATGGCACCTTATGATACAAACATGCAGAGATACAATTTACATGTATACCTCAGGTACACAGTCTGGTATTATGCTATTATCTGACTCAGGATCACTTTTGCCAATATTTCTCATACTGCAATACTTCAATATTATCGTCTTCAAATCTTGTAAATTTCTATAACTTAATAGTTTATCAATACTTCTGAGGCTAAATTAAAATGTGGCATAATTTTATTCAATCAATGCCAACATACTTTGCAAACAAGCAAGATTCTTCAGTGACTTCAGTCACATGTATGAATCTCCCCTTGGTAGAAATATTTAGTTGATGATCATCAAGAAAACTATTGTATCTTTCTACCTGTACAATAATTATACTTTTATATAGATAAACTAAACTAGGCATGTTCCTACTATTTCAGTGATGGCTTTGAATAGAACATCTTTACTTCCGTTAATCATATGCAGTAAATGATAAAACTTCATATCAGTGCTAATTTCAGGTAGGCATTTGAAAAAGTGTCGGAGATTGCCATATTGTTCTAAAAATTCAAGAGTTAAAAAAACTATAAATGCAAAAGTTTTTACCTATCATAACTTCTATTTTTGTCATTTCCTTAACTTTTTTTCCAGGAAAAAATTGATCAAGAAGAGACTCAAGAACAGTTCTAACTGATTGTGATCTCGCTATCTCAAATGTCACCTTAAATTGAAGGTTGTTATGAATCCAGCAATATAGATCCACTAGTTTAGGAAGAACTATGGCTCCAACATTTAAAGCTGGTCTTGTTAAAATAAATTGATAGAGAGTGAAGAGTTCGCATTTCTTGTCATGTAGCATAGTTGATGAAAGCAAAATAGTAAGGAAATCATCCAACTGGGTGCCACCATATATTTGGAGTTGTTTCACATTATTTCTCAAATCCCTACACATAATTAATAGATTAACAATTGACCAGTATGTTTTAAATTACCTTAAATTATTAACAATTGGGTCTCCAAATCGATTAAAGTGTTCTCTTTTCTAAAATTAAAATAATCAATTTGTCCACACAATTTTACTCTACTTTCAATGAATTCCAAGCTGGTACAAAAACATTGGTGTGTACAGTAATTTCATACTGACGTAGAGCTTTCAAAAATTCATCTTGAGTGGTACAAGTATTGTTACTGTTTAAAATTGACCAATGACTTTGAAGTTCATGTTTCATGAATGCCTACAATGAAACAAAATAGAAAAGGTAGATATCGTGGCACATATACTTTGTACAGATTTTGAATACAAGAAAACATCAAACAATCTCTTTCATCAATGGTAATGTTGCAATCTATTGCAATTTTTTCCCATAGCACATTCAAATGCAACATAGCCTCCTGAGGTGAAGGTAGCTGTTCATTGGACCATATTGGATGAACTAGATCTTGGTGGTGTCTTGTAGAGTTGACAACCATTGCAATACACAAGAGTCCATAGTTCATCCATTGAAGAACAAGAAGTGAAAACCAGTTTAGACTCATCCTATGGGTATAGCTGATTGGTGTGTCTTTGAGAGACATCACTTTCAAGTATTTTGCATCTACGCAGCCAGTAATCTAAAAATATAACTCAAGTAGTTCTAAAGTTTTATCAAATTAATTATTCTTACTATAGAACCAGGCAAAAAATCTGTCTTAATGTTATTGGGTTCAAAGAGGTGAGTCCAAAAGTGAGAATCAGAAGAGCTTCCTAAAACAACAGCAGCTAGCTCGATCAAGCACTGAATGTGCATTTGATTGTCTTCATCTGTAATCGAAGCATAATAATCAACTACAGCAATAAAAATCATTACTTGGTTGTACAAAAAAATTGTGAAGTTCTTGGTTTGACAAACTCATAGGGCTGTCTGGCATAGGATTAGCCATCCAATCAATGAAGCACCAATATTCTTTACCAATATATTGAAAAAGCTCTTCAGACAATATTGGCAATATTCTATGAGAGTTTTTCTGCAAAATTATCACGGAAAGTGGAATCATCTGTTCATTTTATAAATTACCTTATTAACAAAAAACTCGATATGAGCACTGAGAAAGACTGACATAATAAAAGTAAACTTTTCTTGCTTTGATGCATTACTACAATTATAATTATACAAGAAATTAAAATACAAATACACATTTTGTTACCATTTCACAGCAATACGATGAATGGGCTCAATTTTTTGTTTTTTGCCAGGGTATTTTATAATGGATTTCATAGCTTCATGCACAGAATTGAAAAGGGTCATCTGACTAGAGTAACATTGAGACAAAAAAGGAAGAAAACCTTCGTTTGGTATTTGATTAAACTAAATTGATATAAAATTCATGACAATAAGACTTCAATGAGCTACCTTTAATACAGCAGTGATCTGACGAACACATTTAAAACTGGTTAACAAGGATATATTATCAATGTTATCCACTAATTCAACTTTTAATTTTCTTTCATTTCTACATACTTGAAGTACCCTAATATAAATTTATCCTTCATTTTAGTAGCTCTTGTACTGCTAACCTCATCAGAAGTATAAGTGAATTGTCAGATATTGCAGCTGTTGAATACTTGCTTACAGCATTACTCTCATCCAAAACTGTTTCAATGATTCCAATCTAAAAATATTGTATCATGCTGTGTATCTATTTGTTGTTACCATATTTTCATCAGTAGATCCATCATGCTGAACAACAATATGAGCAAGTTTCTCTATGACAATTTGAATGACTGCTTGCTTCTCAATAACAAGAAGTTTTTTCTTGCTTTGACATGTTTCTGATTTGATACTTTCTGCCAACTATGAGAAATAATAAATAACAAATTATCATTATACACTTACCCTTTCATAAAATGAAAGCATGTTTGAAAATAAAACAACATCAGATATACTAGAATCATAACTTTGCAATTTCTCCAAAACAATTTCATAATATGTATCACATAAAGGAACATTAATTGATTTCTAGAATTTCAAATGAAAATTTTAATGCCTTTAACAAGATATTATACCTGTAATTTAAATCTTAGAGAGGCACAATTTCTGTAATCATAAGGATAGTAATTGAAGCAGCTTGAAGGATCCTTTGAATCAATTACTGAACCTAGTATTGACCTCACCTATTAAAATAAAATAATTTCTCACTTAACTATAGTGTTAGCTCACTCTGTCATTAAATAAAAGTACACCAGTTAGTTCTCTGGTGCCATAGATATGTGCTTCTTGTGGATTTTCAAGTAGTTTTTTAAGATGGTATTTGAACTTGGATTGCAACCAACTTGATGACAAATCATGTTCCAATTCAATTCTATTCATAACTTCCCAGATCCATTTGATATCTTCATCAGTCATGTCATGAATGTGTTGGTTCACATAATACTCAACAATATGTTCACAGATCACGAAGTGGCTGTGTCTCACATCATCAAAATATTCTTGAACAAGTTGAGCTAGAGATACAGCTTTAATATACTTCTACAAAAGAGATAATGAACATGCGGCATAAAAACTAATACCTCTGATATAATATTGGCAGCTTCCATCAGCTTCAAAACAAAATTGTCAAAAGGCTGCAAAATAATTTCATCCCGTCGCTTCAGATTATTGACAAAATATATAATGGACAACACAATCAATTTCTTTTTGGTAACTGAATCTAGATCTAAATCATCATGACTTTTAAAATTGCTAATCTAAAAGCTGTGGATGAAAATAAAACAATTGCATATTATTATACCACTTGATAAAATAGATCTGAAAGTTCATAAAACTTAGCACATTTCCCACTTTTATGTAATGATCCTAATGATGTGTACAATACATCAATGCCAGTGGTCAATACACTATTTTTATTCAGATTGCTAAGTAGTTGACTTTCTACATGATATGTGTCAATATAACAAACACATTCATCTAACAGCCGTAACAAAGACAGATAATGTGAATCCAATCTATACAGGCGTAAATGATAATGCAGTGAAATAAAACGTCTTGTGAAATCATCTAAAAATGAAAGTAAAGTGGAAAACAAAAGCTTCTGCCAACCTGACTGAATACTGGCCAAATTAAAAAACTGTTTAGTAAAAATGCACACATCTCGAGATAGTTTCCTTGACAATGAGTCTTCTAAATAATAATCCCAGAATTCTTCATTGACTTTCATTGCTCCAATGGCAAATTTGATGATTAAACAATCATCCTATATAGTGTTAAGTTAGCTGTAACATCTAATATTTATACATTTATAAACTTAGATTATTAAAAATTCATCATTAAATTTTTACTTAGAATTTTTAACAAAAAATGAAAGTAGTTTTGGATATAAATATCCTTTGCCAAAATATAAAATTTCCTATCATGACAATCAATAGTTTTAAATTCAACTTTTGAACCCAAGACTTAACAATCAAAGAAGACTAGCAATAGTTAAAAGGTTATGGGCAAGGATTACCTTAAGGGTTATTTGCAAAAGTAATATTTGGTAAAATTGCTTGTGGAAAGTTCATTGGTCAACTTTATATTAGCAATTTCGTGCCACGTGCCATTGAGCATGTTTAGATTGAAACAAATGTGAGGTATTATATTGGCAATTTCTTCATAGAACTACCAATTCCTCGCCAATAAATCATGTCGTACATTATATCAAACTGTAAAATGAATCGTAGGATGAAAATCATCTGTGATGACAACAAGCTTATAAGTTCAGAGTAGCAGGCAGAAAGGCAAAACGCTAATGAAAAAGTTATTTAGGGTTTAGGATACTATTGACTATTACTAATAGCTTTGAAACTTATTATTTTTACCTTGCTTTGTTCAATAAGCTCTTCAGTTTTTTTAATAATGTGATCTTTATCATTGTCAGTGGACGCTGAATTGATGTCATGAGCCCAAGTTGTTTCTGAATTTTCTAAATATTCTTCTTCGTCATTAATATCAACTGATTGCAGATATTGTTTGAAAACTTGATTGATAATGTTCTCCATGGCATCAAATATAAGATTGAAAAAAGGAATTTTCGGAGAAGAGAAGTCCTTCACTGTATCAATATGTGATTGTTTTGTCAAAATTGCTACTTCTAACTGCAGCTGTTGCAATGAATCAGGAATTGGAAGAATACTAAGTATTTCACATATTAACTTTGTGTTTGGAACAATATTTTCATCATACTGGTGAAGCGTGTGCATCACAAATTGTTGATTCATAATGCAAATAAAATAAAGAACTAATTCTTTATAGCTAGACTTGATAGTCTCTTCAACCGCTTGTGACAGTGTGCAACTTGAACGATAAGTAACAGCAAAACGAGCAATTTTAAAAGTGAGCTCATGCATTGCTTCTTGCTGCCAAAACGAATAGAATCTTTTACTAAGGACAGAAGATATTTCATCAATCTTTAATAATGCTGTCCAGTACAAACAAATTTCCTGGAATTGAGCATCTTTGGGAGGAAAATCTTTTAACTGCTTCATTGTGATACTCCCAGAGCTCAAAACAATAGTTTCACTTAGCAAATCTGTCCACACAAAATCATGAACAAAAATATCATGCATTTTACACTCAGAAGATGCAGTACTTTTCTCCAATAAACATATATCAAGCCATTTCTCAATATTGATATACTGTACTCCTTTCATTTCACCAATTTTGTCCAAATATACATGTTGCCACCCATCTAAGAAAAGTGTTGGATAGCAACAATTGTAAAACATTTGCGGTGGAAAATGTAGGATAAAAAAGATAAGTTTGTTACAGTGCAGTTGCTGATAGAAGCACTCACTTTCCTCAATCAGTATTCTAGCATGATTAATAGTGTCCTTAGCTAGCTCATTCATATTTGCAAATAAAAGTAAGACTTCAGTTGGAGTATTTGAGTTATCACATTCCAAAAACATCCTCAAAATATCTTGAATTTTTTCTTGACTTGTTGCATGAGACATAATGTAAGTATGAAATTTTCTTTCTTCATCAAAGCAGAAAAATTCTTGCATTTTTTCCTTTTCCTGTGTATACTTTGAATGGCAAGAAGTATAATTTGGAATCATCTCCATTATACTTTGAGAGGTATGTGTAAAACAAAGAAATTTTTTTGCTACAAATTCTTTTCTAAAAATTAAGGCAACATCAAATTATAACAAAATATCATTTTACCTTTTATCAAGAAGCTGATACTGTTCTTGTATAAAATTATGCAACGAAAAGTGATGCTGATATCGAATATAGCACTTCTTATAAAAATCAGGAATTGTTTCATCTGTCCCACAGCAAGTAACTAGCCCTTCAGGACTCATAATGCGTATCAACTGATAATGAAGAAATATCACTATTAATTCTTGTAATAATTTCAATGACAACTGTGATGACACTTTGTTGCCCTTAACTGTCATTCTTGCAACTTCATTTATACTTTCAAAGTCAATAGGATCATCCAAAAATTTTTGAACTATATCTTTATCATTTTTAGAAATTGAATTTATAGCAAATAAAACAGCTTCAGAAAACAATTCATAATGACCCTAAAATGAGAAACAACTTAAACCATTAACTAAAATCAGAAACTTACCACATCAATACATGTTCCATAAACAAGATGGAATTGCCTTAAAAGGCATAATGCAAGAAAATCAACCTTTGAAGAGGGCTCAAAATCAGCTCCAATGGATGACGCATTCGCACTATCAGTAACATGCTGAGTAGGCAAGACTAAAAGCATGAGAGAGTCTATCGTTTGTTCAGTGAATCCATAAAAACATGACTTTCCACAATTTTTCACAAAATCTTCAACCTAAAATTTTTATGGAGAAAGTGTCATTGTGATTCAATATAAAACTTACATTGTTCTTAGCATACACTAAGATATTTTTTATGTGATATTGGCATGACGACAAGGATTCCTGAAATAACACTTCATGGCTCAAGCTGTACTTCTCAAAACGATTTAAAAAAGGTTTGCTTGTTTTTGATTTGTCGGAATTATTAATAATAACAGCACAATTAAAAAAAGGGCTAACTCTTGTTGGTTTAATAATTGTACCGATTGCCACGTTGGCAAACAATACTTTTTCATTGGTTCCAGGCGTATTGATGCACAAGAACCTTTGATTAAAAAGATCATAAAAATTCTCTTGAATTTCTTCAGCTTGATAAATAAGAGTAGTATGGCCTACTCTAGCTGCATGCCTTATTGCAGCAGTTGTATATAACTATAAGTTTAGATAATCATAAAAATAACTATTATTAATTATTTTAATGCATACCTTCTGTGAATTATCATCAAAAGGAAACCTGGAACAAGATAAAATTTTGGTTGCATCTCTTCGAAATATATCGAATCGAAATAGCAATCGTACTAATGACTGATCTTCACTGCTGTCAATAAGAAGCTTGTATCGAACTTGATTCTCAGAAGATAAGTCTCTGTCAGTATTTCTAAAACTTGATTGGAGAAGTTGAATCAATGATTGCTTTTTAACATTTTCTGGATTAAAATTAATCTGTAAAGTAATAGTGAAAATTAAAACTAAAAAAGTTAATCCTTACTGCTTTGAAAAAAACTTGTACAATGCTGCTGAAATCTTTAGTGCCATTAAAATTGTGGCCTAATGCTTCCATAACAGCTTGAGGCTTAATGACATCATCTTGGTGATTCTTAGAATGCCCAAGGTAAGCAAAAAAGTGGATAAAGTCACGAAGCCCAAAGAATTGACGAATATGTGGTCTGCGGCTGTCATTCATCAAATTTTCATACACTTCAACTATGTTAGTGATCATGGTCTCTTCATCCCTGTTCCAGGAGATAGGCAGATTGCCAGCAGTTAAAGAGTATTTAGCTAGTTGAACAAGATCTTGAGATGAAATCTCACTCCGATACATAGTGACTGTTCTGTTTGTCTTGGCAGCATCCAATATATCATTGGAAATACCAACAAACGAAACCTATAATGAGACACACTGATATTGTACAGAAATATATTTGTCAGGATTTTAACTTTGCTAATTTTGCAATTATAAAAAATTCATAATCTGTTTATTATATATACTAATAATGTGCACACAGTAAAAAAGTGAATTTTTCCTCACAAATATGCAATTTTTGTGAAATAATATTTTTACAAAATACCCCTTAAAAACAATAACAATCTATATGAGTAATGATGTTAAAAACTTACTAAAGGTTCATCATCCAAAAAATGGTGAAGTACTTTCAATGATTCATGACTATCTTCTGGCAATCCTGCTTCATCCATCATTACAACAGCAAGCCTCCTGGTGTTATCTATTGTTTGCTGTCGGTTAATTGCTCTTTTAAAAACTGTTTCGATCTCTGAAGATGTAGATTTTTTTGAGCACTGGTAAGGATGAGGATCAAGGCATTTAAATGTATTGCAGTCTTTTAGTTCATTATTTTTAGATTCTTGGCCTTGGCAGTTGTGAATTGCTATTTTAAAGGATAGAGTCTTAGATGATCCAGGTGGGCCAACAATAAAAATTGGTACATGAGCCATAGTACATATTATGATAGCATATATGTTTTCTTTTAAGGCAAATGTTGGAGCTATGCCAGCAGAAAAATCAATGACACGATCAACCCAGTTCAGTTCATCATTTAGAGATTGTACAAAGTTTTGACCACAAGTATCAAAAAGACTTGAATAGCACATCATTTGTTCCTTGAAGTCTTCTCTATCACATATATTGAGTCTGAAATAGTAAACAAGTGCTACAGCAACATAAAAAGCCCGGGTCATGATTTGTATGTCATTTTCTATTTTTCCATATTTCGTATCCTTTTTGAACCATGTCTCTAACCAAACATGCAATTGAAAAACACGCTTTATATCTCGTTGACTAACAGTACTTTTAGCATAAAGTTCTGCTTTTTTCTCTTCAAGATAACTTTCAGTATTCAAGATACTTTTTAAATGCTTAAATGCATATGCTCTCATTAGTTCCTGCGCTCTTGCAATTATTTCAGCTACAATTTTACAAACATTTTTACTCCTGTCTTCATAAGTGAGAAGAAGCATTTTATGAATATACTCATTTTCATCTTTTGCTTCCAACTGACCATATTCCCATTTAAGAATGCTGAGGGTGTGAGGAAGAGATTGGACGTAATAGGATGCATTGAACCAGCTGTCATTTTGCTTAGCTAGCATGGCCAAACTATTACCCCTGTGTGGATTACATGCAGCAACAATAAAAATGTTCTCGGCTAAGGCCTATAAAAATTCAGTACATTATCAATACTTTCAATTAAAACATACTCGTCCATTTACAGCTTTATCAATAATGACTTCTTTAAGGTAGCCAGGACAAGAAGATGTATTAATTTCATCAAAAAATACCTACATACATGTTATATACTTCCATTCACAAAAAACCAACTAAAATAACTTACAGTAATAATTGGTTTTTGATACTGGAGTACAGTACTGTGGTGTTTCTTGTAGCATTCAAGTAACATTAATGCATGTTGGTTAACACTGACTAAAAATTCCTCTATTTTCTTTGGTTTCATATCTACAAAAAATAAATAAAAGAAAATAAAATAATTAATTATAAGTATATTAGCTACATACCAGAGTGAAGGCTCAGTTTATAAAATATAGACTTTAATTCGCCATAAAGTATACCATTGATAACGTGGGCCATAGACTACAAAGATATGAGCATTACCTTAATAGCATAACAGAATTAAGTGCATGATTTACTATAGTATCATCAGTTTCTTTTTCATCTTGAATACTTCTCAAAAAGTCAAATAATGGTTTGTCAGTATGAGAATCAGTTGGAAGCTCAATATTACCCACCAATGGATCATACACAATCTTAAGCAGTTCAATTTTGATCTTGGTATATGTGATACTAGAAACTGCTAGTTTTAGAACATCATGTAAAGTTTTAAAAGATATTTTTCTTTTTGAGGCCTTTAAATCTGTTTTGACTGTCAAAATGAGATTACTTGCTCGGGCACCAATTGTAACACTTTTCTCCACTTTTGTCATTAATTCATATAAAAAATTCTACTTAAAGCAATAAAAATTATATATTTAGTAAAAATATACTTTGTATGTACCTGCATATCATTTTTAAGGGAAAGAAACTGTTGCTTCCATGAGTCATTCCAAAGTGAAGATAACATTTGCAGTAGAAATGTTTTACCAACTCCTGTCTCACCTTCAAGAATAACAGGCATACCACATTCTCTCCGTTCATGAATAGTAAGCATTTTTCTAACAAAATCTTTAGTTAGGACATATTTCTTCTCCTTAATTAGAGTAATACAGTTTGAATCATCTGTTTTCACATTAAGTGCTGCAGAGAGGCAATCATGAAAATAATGGTCAGACATTGGTTCACTAAAAAAAACAAAGTCACTGATTAAATATGTACATGCATCCTCACAGTTTTACGCCAATTGCTCTTAACTGTCTACGTTTCTCTTGAGATGGTATACCAGTACAAAAAAATTTGAACACAATTCCTCCATTTTTGTCAACATCATAAATAACCTTTTACCAGGATTAAGTACATTTCTTATTAAAATAATTATGATACCTGTTGATGCTCATCAGTTGCCTGTATTACTGAACTTTTACAAAAGTCTTCAACTTCTTCTTTCATTAAATTGAACAATGTTGATCTCATGTTTTTTGGACTAAACCCTGTCAATCCTTCACCTTTATCATCCTTTATAAGACTACCATCTTTTACATCTTGCAAAAAACACAGTTGAAAGCAATCTTCAAGCAACTTGCACCTTCTTTCCATGTATCTACATTTATGATTAACATGTCAACTGATTGCAGCATACATATACTTACTTCAAATATACAGCCTGCAATAACTTTGACTGAGCAATACTATGCTTAAAATTATGTTGCAGTATACTTCTACATTCTTCAGCTGAAAGATCTTGATAAATGTTTCCAATTTTTATAGGAGATGACCTTTGTCCTGGAAAGTCTATGATGTATAGTGACATGACTCACAATGCTACAGATACATTAAAATTACCAGTATATAAATGATCCAAATTATTATTTTGAGATGCTTTGAGATACTTACACACCAGCTGTGTTCCTTGATAATGCTCAATATCAAATTCCATTTTGGGAATCATTTGTTCCCCAAGTAAAGTCAAAGCTGGAAAGAGCTCACAAAACTTGTTGAAAGATTTAGTAACATCACAATTTACATTCCAATAAGGAACCTATAAGCATAGTAACTGAACAAACAACATATAAATTTACTTCAATATACACATCAGTTGACATGCCACTAGGTAAGCACAATGAACGGCAATGTGACTGCTGTTTGGTGTCTACAGATATTTCAACATATCCCAAAACAAAATAATCAAAAAAGAACCAATTCACATCATCAACCAATTGATTAAATTTCAGTTTGTGATTTTCATCACTTTCCTATGTATTACAACTAGACCAAATTAAACATCTTCCTGCTACTTACCTCAGGAAGAAACAATGATATATTGTAGTAATAAAGCATTCCATATTGCTGTAAGGAAACTTTTGTTAATTGCTTAAACATTCCTTTTCTACTAAATGTTTCATCAATACTTATTGATACATAATTTTGATCCTTATTTATTTTCCTGGATTGCTTATTTATATGATCTTTTATTTCACTTCTAATGTAATGTGTTTTTCCACAGCCTAGTTAAACTTGTTACAACAGTAAGTCTGATTCTAATACCTACCAGATGGTCCATAAATGACTCTGAAGTTTCTAAATTCTTTGCCAAGCCTTTCTAATTTGCACTTTTCTCTCACATTCTCAACATCTGACATACATGTATGACTAATTTCCTATGAAAAAAAACTAGACTACATGGTATATATTGTTTGAATAGGTACCTGTTTATCAATCCATTGTATGTGACAAAACAAAGATGGAGAATACTCAACAAGAAATAAACTCAGGCTATAATTAATTTTTTTATCTAAGAAACTTGACCTTAGCATGGAACATCTTTTCAACAGAACCTAATAGGAAATATCTGTTAATAATTGACATAAAAATTTTTGAACTAACTCTTTGCAGTTCATTATTAATAGTGTTAACTCCCAAAATGAGGTATTTCATTTTTGAAAAGTCACTAGAATTAATTCTGTCAAAAAACAATTCAATATCTTCTTCAATAGTAGCCACTGAGCAGCGGAGAAGTTGAAAATACGAAGGAATCTTTTTAAAAATCCATAGGATCAAGTTCATCAGTTCCAAATTACTGTAACAAAATGCTGAAATTAATGAAATTTTGAAGGTTCTTTCCTTGTTAAGATTCAAATCACTTCTAAGACATTTTGAGAGATATGGATGTATTATATCACTTTGTACAAGAAAATACAAAAAACTTCCAACTCTTTCAACAGGATGTACATTAGCATCAGAAACGAGCTCAGGAATCATCTATTATTATTATAGCATAAATACCGTATAGATGGTAATTTTTGTTGTACATGCTTCATTTTAGTGGTTTTTGGGCTTAACATGAAATTAAAACCAACAAAATCATTACTGGCTGTAAACTGTTAACAAAAAATTGCGACCACAAATTGCCCCACTAGGAACAAGCCGCAAAATATTAGACCCAAGAAAATAACCTGCTATACGGTAATAAGAACCTATACTGATCCATTTACCTTAATTGTACTCTTTAAACAGGAACGCCCATTAATGTCAAGTATGAAAAGAAATCCAATTTCATGCAATAATGTTTCAATATCACAAAAGTCCTCCATGATCCTCTCATGAATTGAAATTAACCTTTTTGTACTCAAAAAAGATAAAATTTGATATTCTTCCCTAAATTTTTTAGTGTCACTTTTAAAAGATTCCAGTTTTTTCTTACTCAAGTCGAGCTAATAATAGTATAAAGCAATTAAAGTATCATAATAATAATTAACTAACTTCTGACATCAAAATTCCCCATCCTTCTTGCCAACCAGACACCCAACTATCCAATTCATTTGAAGGTACATGTATATTATCTTTTTCTCTCCATTGTAAGAAGCAAGGGTTTAAATGAAACGTTCTTACTTCCTCCTTCCTGTATTCAGGATGACCAGTGCAATGTAGATCAGAATAACAATCAAGAAGTTCAAAAGCAATTTTTTTAAACTAAAAAATTTATAGTTAAAACATACTTAAACCTAATTAGTCTGACCTGCACAAACCACTTCAGGCAAAAATATACCAGTGATGGAGACTTGAAATTTACAAACAATAATTTTCGTGAAAAATCATTAATTGTGCTAACAGTCCAATCTTCATTGTCCAGGCAAGACTGTTGTGGAATAACATGCATATGACCTACAAAAATATATTACAAATGCCAAGGATGCAGGCTTGAAAATAAATTTATTGTAACAAAAATGATAGGTCCTTAACGGCTCCATGAAACATACAGAAGCAGCAAAATATTGATACATTCCAGATATTATGTGTAAAATATACCTGTATTATAATACTTTAATGTGTTGAAGGCAGTAAATTTTATTTTAACTTAATTAAAATTTAGGCTAAAGCCGCTACAATGTTAAAGCCCTTATGCTATGCAAAAAAAATCACAACTTACTCAAGAAAGTGAAATGTATGCTTCTAAGCCCAAAATATACAAGGCAACATATGTTGCTAGCAACTTCTGTGGTTACTTTGATTTTGTATAAGAATAGAAATTTGTTCTATTTATGGAACAAGCTCGATCATTACAAGATCAAAGCAACCACGAAAGTTGCTAGCAACATGTTGCCTAGCTAGTATATGTTCACGGGCGTACCCAGGGAAGGATGCTGATGGTGTCCAAAGCGCACCACAATTTTGACCACACCCCTTTTTATGGCACCAAAATATTGTTTTCACCATTTTCAAAAATTATGTAACGGTAATTTTAGGTCACGGTAATTTTAGGTGCTTCCTATTGCCCTTTAAAGCACTGGAAAATGCTGAGATTGAGGCTAAAATGATTGTTAAGTGTGCTGAATAACTTTCTCAAGACATTTAGCAGTGATATGAGACACCAGAACTTAAAGAAGCAGAAGAAAAAAATGTTAATTCTTCAGGCTAATGGGGGTGCTCAAGCACCCTCAGCACCCCCCTAAATCCACCCCTGTATGTTGGCTGGAATTTACATTTAAATATTAACAAAAACATTTTTGCATACAAAAGGCAGACACTCTCAAAGGTTAAATTATGATTGCCAAAAGTAGCCATACAGCAGCAGCACTATCAGTTTCATTTATCATTATTTTCTTATAATGCTCAATTTTAGAGCTCTTTGTCTTTTGTCTTGCACAAAAACTTTTTAACATCAATGCAGATGCAGTGTCCAATTTATAATAGTCCATTGATATGTGAAACTGATGATGCTACTCCAAGGTAAGAGCTGCTTTTTGGTCTGTAATGATGGCAGGAACTGTCGTGTGAAAGGCTAGTGTCTTCTAAAAATAGGACAATCCAAAATCAGACACAGAGAACACCTGCCTCCACTTTCTTGTATGTGAAAAATTTTCGTGGCCCAAAATTTTGTGGATTTTGCATTTTTTTCAACATTCCCAAAAAAATCCGCGAAAATCAATTTAATACGGTTCAAGATGGCCTAAAAGTAGAAAGCCACAAAAATTAAAGCCACAAAATTGATTTTTAAACAGATCCGTGAAAATTTTGGGCCATAAAAATTTCCCGCTATACAATAGCTTGTATGCCCACATAGTAATTAACAAAAATGCCAGCTAGAAAAACTGGAATAATTTATTACATATATGTAAAGCTTAATCAACAAAATAAAATTTAACCAAACTAAGGCCTGGCCTATGAATGAACAAAAGCTTTTTCAAAGTCACTGCTAATGATAAACTAGATATTGTTATGATTTTTCACCAAAATAAAGATCACACCAAAGGAAAAACATTATAAGAAGAAAATTACTAAATTAGAATACAAATCAGAAAGATAATTCAATTTTTTGCCAACAATAACTACAATCATTCTAACATACAATGTATAGACCAGCTGACCAGTACATAACAGAATGATATCATGGTTAATTTTCCTAAATGCGCAAACTTAAACCAACTAAATAAATTGTAGTTAACTAATATAATGATATAGCTTAAAATAAAAACTAACAGATAACTATCAAACAAACCTCTTTCCTCAATTTTCATAAATGTTAATGTCAACTGCACTCCAGTTTCTTTAGAAAACTTATAATTATAAACACCAGAAGACTGTATGCTACGAAGAAGTTTCTCTTTGTTCTGAGGAGCCTCTTCCTAAGTAATTGAGATATTATCATTGTTGTAGAGTAGGTACAACTTACTTCAAAAATGTTGAACCACATTCTAATGAGATTCATACCTTGATTCACAAATGACAATTGTGATATGGCTTCTGAAATGTTTCCAATGCTGATGATATCATTCCAAAAAGCTAATAGACTACTTTCATGTCTAAGAAAGGGAAACACCAAACTCATTGTGTTCTGGAATGCACTTAAAAGTTGTTCATCATGATTTTCATGAAGTAGTTCCACAGTTACAAGTTGGCACTCTAAACGAAATGTTTGATAGCCATCATCAGACTGATATCCTCTTTCACAAGCAAATTCATAAAGCTTACGTAATTGCTCTATGTGTTTACTCACAAATAATTGAAGATATGAATTTCCAATAATATCTTTTATTCCAAAAAATCCCTTAACATCTTTCACAACTTGCTTAGCATTGAGTGTTGTTACAGTAGATTCCAAGGCATATTTGACATAATTGACTTTCTTTACTATATTATCCATGTCAATTAAACATTGCTCCAACTTATACATTTTAAAGGCTTGCTGCATTGCTAGAGCATATAAATAAAACTCTATAAGTTCAAAGGTAGCTTCAAGACTCTCTTTAATATCAAAAGTGTCATTGATATGATAGTAATACTCATGTAGTATTTCAGTTTCGTTAGGCCAATCAATACTTTTAACATCTTCCATTGTAAAGATTTCATTGATAGTGAGCATTGATACATTGTCTTTGATCAAATTATTTATAACAGTTTGGGCACATTCTACTGCATGATTTAACAATTTAAGCTTTTTGCTACCGTTAAAATTAAATGTTGGAGGATCAGAAAAATGCCTTGGACGAAGATCGGTATCACTTTCCTTGTTGCTTTGCTTGTAGAAATGCATTATGCATTTATTAAATAGTGCACTTCCTTTCCAATTTAAAAGAGCTAATGTTTCAAGTGATTCTGTGATTGGATTCAGAAAAGCTTCAAGTTGACAAGCTATAATTTCTAAAGAATATAGTGTACATTCATTCTTAATTTCACAGGTGCAAATAGTGTTTTTGGTTGTATAAACAATACTGGATTTGATAAGATGATCCAAAACAGTTGGAAAAGAAATGTCATACTTAGATAGTACTTCCGTAATAAAACTCCTGTATAAATACAAGTGATCATACTATATAGATATCAAACTAATGTAACATTGTAAAATGCACATATACATGTACATGTAACAATTAAGCAATCCACATGGAAAGACACCATCGAATTATTTTATATTTATCATATGCTTGACTTTGACTTCAAGCTTTTGAAAGTTATTAATTCTACAAAAATTCATCATGATTCACAAGTCATGATCATGCACCATTAAGGTAAAGCCTAAAGCTAATCAGTTAGAGTGCTAGATGAAAGAAAGTGACTGAAGTTTAATTTCTTTGACATTCAAACAAAGCTATCGTGAGGTACAATGTGATCAATAATTAAATACATGTATATGCCATTAGTTGTAGGCCATGCAAATTCATCAAGCTTGCAATTTGGCATTAAGCAATGGCAGACATTTAGCACACTAGGAAACATTCTATTGCACCTTGAGGTCAGTGTTTCCCGTATGCTTGGGAAAACGCCTTTGTTCTCAATGACAGACATTAATAAAACAATAAAGCAAGGAGTGTTATGCAAAACAACTGCCAATTTCCTTTCAAACACGTGCATATCAATTAATAATTAATATTGGATTAATGTACATGTACAGTCAAACTTCTTTAAAACTAATCCCTGACTAGCAAAACCTCTCTATATAAATATGTTGCTGAAGGCCATTGAAAGTCTATAAAAGAAACTTTTGAATAATAGAATCCCTCAATTTTGTACAAATAATGACTACTCTCCAATGGTCTAGCCTGCACACAAAGTAGGCAATTCTATAATCAATGCAATATGAAAGATGGGGTTTAACCAGTTCAACCTCTGACTTAAAAAGATGGCAATGGGTGGCCCATGTAGGTGTTATTTTTAGAGAGGCTTGACTGTCCTTAGCAGGGGCGTATCCAGGAATATGGAAAGGGGGGGGTGCTGGAGTACAGAAATGTACAGGGGCTGCAATGAGGGGTGCACAAAGCATGGCACGATTTTGACCATGCCCATTTTTATGACGGTAAAACAGCGTTTCTTTCATTTTTGTCAATTACGAGCGGGGTCAGGATAATTTCAAGCACACTGGTACTTCTGATCACTTGTTAAAGCACTGGAAACTGTTGAAATCATAATCAGGGGGCTAGATAACTTTATGAAGAGGCTTGGTAATGATGCAAGAGTCCAAAACTTTAGTAATTTTTTTCTGAGCTCAGCTATAAGGGGGGTGCTCAAGTACCCTCAGCACCCCCCCTGAATACGCCCCTGCTTAGCAACATAAGTGTATATGTTATAGTGATATACAAATGCAAAACTACATGTACATGTAGATGTAAAGCATGCAAGTGATAAAAGTCAAAATTCCTACAAAATTTGACACTTAAAGTACTGCAATGACATATGTTTATCAACATACCCTCCATATGCATGTTCTTTCACTAATAGTTTTAAAATTTTCGATTGAAACTCTATTGCTTTACTAATTCTTTCTTCTGCAATAGCACAGCAAGCTGAATACTCAAATTTCAAGGTGCAGTCATATATTGTCTTATAGGTCAAATAATGTTCAGAAAGTACTACCAGTTGCCCAAAAGTAATATGCTTTGTTTCCATTACATCAAATATTTTCCTTAGAAGGCTAATAAACTGAGTTATAATATTCTTAAGAATCCTTGATTCAGGAATACAGATGGCCAAGTTATCTGATGTGAAGTTAGATATCAGCTGGGCAATTAAACAAAGTTTTGTCGTATTATCTCTGAACCACTCAATACTTGGAGATTGGCTCAAAACTACCTTTCCAAACACAATCAAAGCAGCTCGAACCTTAACAGTAAAATCACAGTCTCTAGAGAAAATAGGACGAAAGAATGATACTGCATCATTAGTGACAGGGCCAACTGAAAAAATGACCTCCTATTATTAAAAAGGATCATAGACAAGTACTTTATAGACAACACATGCACCTGTAATAGTACTTTGATTACTTCATATTGAAATGCACCATCATGTACTACAACTTTATCCTACAAGTACATATATTGTATTTGTCACATTCTGAAGTGCATATAACTCACAAAAGCAGAAAAAATCTTGTTGTAAATTTCTTTTTGAAGTTTGCTATCAATAATGAAATTTTTAAACTTTTTTCCAAATTCTCCATCAAAATAACTTTCAGTCATAAAAATCTTTGCTTCAAGAATTTTTTTAATAAACTCAAATGACCGCTTGCTCTTGACATAGTAAGATCCAATATTGTAGAAAAACAATAAAAATATTTCCTGAGGATCATCTTGTTCTATGAAACTGCAATGAAAAATACACTATAAAAAACACACTAGTATATAAAAACATACTATTTACTAGCTAAGCATAGTAAATGCATAATAGAATTTTCTTGCTTCACACTGTACGAAAGAGAATTTAGAAAAGTTTTGTATATCTATACATAAGAATTATATGTATTTTAGATGAGGTACCAATGACTGTATTCTTACCTCAACTTTATCGAAGTGACCCAGAAGAATTAAATCACTAAAACGATCAATAGATAATTTTGAACATTTTTCAACAAACAATTGCTGTAGCTGCACAAAAAAACAAAAAATAATTTGAGGTAATACAAAGTACCTTCTCATTAAGACATGTGTCATAGCTAGACCATAGTTTAGATTTCTGGAAAAGTATCTCAATATGTTCCTTACACTCAGGATGTGTTAAATCAATAGATTTCACAAAAATAGCCAGCCATAAATTTAAAATTGGCAAAAAATTATGAAAATCCCATTCTTTTTTTCTAATGAGATCAACAATATTTTCAAGCATAACTGGTCCCTACAGTAATAATAAATAATTTAAGAAAAAAAAATATTTTTCACTTCATCATCCCACTTTGTGAAATGCTTTTCATTATAAATAGTAACTGGATGAAAAAACATTTTAACAAATGTGACACCAGTAGGATCCCTTGTGAGATATTCGTTGCATTCAACAATAAATTTCCTATTAAAATTGCTCAATACAACTCAAGAGACATCACACTATGTTACCATAATGTTTTAATTGAACGAAATTTAGCAGTAAATACAGTAGACATGTTCTCCCATGTCAACATTAATGACGGCAGGTCCCTCAAAATATATGACATGGCTTTTAGCCCATTGCTAAAACTTTCAATGTCACTTTCTGACAACTCCTTGGAAAGAAAATGCTAAACAGAAAAAATGTCTTATAACTTAAAAAATTATTTCTTGCCTGCAAAACTTCCTTAAACCATAATTTTTGAATTTTCTTTAGCATACTACATGAATTGTAGAACTTTATAGCAATAGATACTATAATAGATAAATGTCATCATACGTAAATGTACTTTAAATAATTTTTATGCTAACCTGACAAAATCTTTACATATGCATATTCAACAGCAGCACTACTAGGGTAAATCATAAGATATCCTTGGCTTACAGTAATAAATGATTTTGCAGCCAAATGAAATACATTGATCTCAGTTACATGTGAATCGTAAATTTTAAAACTTCCCCTAAAAGAATAATCTATAAATTGCTAAAATGCAGAACAACTGTACTTATCAATGAATTCTTGCTGATATCTTGCAATGTCTGTTGGCTTTATTTCCTTTAGCTTAGTAACACATTTATATACCAACAATTTTAGACTTTCTGGATATGCTTGAAGGGAATAAAAACTACATTGTACAATAAAAAATATAACACAAAATGTACTTTTAATCGTAGCATACCAATGCAAAATGTTTGCGAAGCAAAAATAGAAAATAAAATCTTTTGAAAATACAGAATCAATATGATCTTTCTCAACTAACAGGTCAAGAACATGTTGAATAACATCTTCATGAGTCACAGAATAAAGTTCCTACAAATTGATTTACAGTGAAATCAGATAACAAAACAAACAGTGAAGCCCATTAACCATAGTTAGATAACCCTATCATAACATCGAAAATAATTCTTTAGAATACAGTATGGGTAGTAAATTTCGAGAGTGTAAAATTTTGTATTTTAGCTCTTTAATTCTTTTACATTTGAGGGGGTTAAATTTCACATTTTGCATGTGCCCCTACATAAGTCATATAATTTTCACATGCTGCACATGTGCAGTGAGCACTTCCATGGTATTAATTTTTGTGGTTAAGAAGTCACCCACAAATCCGCAAAATAGATATCTCAAGAAATTTTATACCCGTACATTATAAAACATTTAAATGTAGTTTGCCTGCCAATGAGGTCAGGTTTGCAAGACTAGAGAGGCCTGAATTAATATGTATAAATATATATATATATATAAGAAATTAACTACCACTAACAAATTGATTATCAAGAAATGTTAGGTTAACTTTGTCCAAAATCCACTTCAATAATCTCAACGATTTTCCAGAAGGATCATCTATTGATTCCATTGTAATGCATGTTCTCTCTTGAATAAATTCATGCATTCTTCGCTTGAAAATTACATCATCAACATTTGCAGTGGTGAAAAAATAATGCACTGTGATAATAAGAATACATAAATGAAACAATACAACTTGTATCACTCACCCTTGGTTGAAATCACAGGTTTAACCGATGCTTCATAATTTTTTGTAGCATCAGCAATGAAGTCTTTCAATTCATGCTTAAATTTATGTGGTATTATTACAATTGTAATTGGACAATCAATTAATTCCCTATCACTATCCAAGTGTTTCTGAGTTATATTAGAAGACATTATCAAAATTAACTTCAGATTAGGATGTGCATATTTGGAATAAATAGAAGATGCTCTAATCCTATCATGTCTTTTAACTTTGTGCAAAAGGACATATGGCTTTAAAACATTCGACAAATCGAAATCATCAGAAGACTGTACTAACTGGTACCATGGAAAAACTTTAATACTTGAAGGGTAACTTGCTGGACTATACAGTATTATTCTTTCCCTCCCTGGCCTTGAGTCAGATGACCTGACATGTATTTCTATGCAAAACAGTGCAGTGTAAATCTAATAATAGATATGATGTATACACAATGTAGAAGTCTTATTTCCCTTTGCCCTCAGAGTCAACATCTAACAAGTTGTATCATCAGCAACCTGTTACAGATAAAGTTCAAAACTTTTTTTTTAATATATGTGCAAACAAAACGAAACCAGAAATGGAAAGAAACCAGAACAAAATAAAACTAGGGGAGTCCTAACATAAGTAGAACTCCTAGCATGACTAGGGTATGCTCTAAAATTAAAAAAAACCCTAAACCCTAACACAACTAGGGGACTCCTAACTACATTGGGAGATTGCTGTTTTGGCGTTTCTTTACATTTCTACTTTTACAAATACCTATGTGCACAATTATACTAAATCATTAATCATTTCTGCGCTTGCTTCAATTATCACTAATTACTCCAGGATTCACAAAAAATAATGTGATCTTACATGCATCATTTCCATTTCATGCATTTCATTTTCCCACTAGCTTAAACTTACCAACTTTAGCTTTAACTGCTTTATCGAAATCTTCTGATTGAAGGTGCTCGGATGCTTTGAAAAGTCTTGGCAGCATGACGAATGGGCGAATCTAACGGCAAGAAAGAGAAGACAGGAGATTTAGGAGAAGAGTCAGAAGAGTGAGAAGACCCTCCGGTAGCGGAATTTTCGCCCACGCATGGCAATAGTTAGAATGTATACGGTAGAGCATAATAAGGATTTTTCGTGGTTTTAATAACTATAATTTTACTTTACTAACGCCTCCTCGACTCGCTGACCCACTCTTGATTCTTGATTCTGCCTTTATGTCCCTGTCAGTCTTCATTATGACCCCTTGGATTACTAACTACGATTGAGCAAGATTTCGTGAAAATTTCCTTTTACCCCACAAGTAACAGACTGTCCCTGACTATCTAAAAATCATGAAAGTGTCTGAGGTTATCCAATCAATTCAAGGGATGCCCGTTTGTGACAGGCTCTATCTTCTCTGTCAGTTGCTTCAAAGATGTGTTACGTATGAATTGGCCTACCTGAGATCCATTCTACTTGGTAACTTGTCTGAAAACCTCTCCTCTCTCTCCACCCCCGAAAGCTTAGCAAATAAAATGGATTTCCTCACATTCAATTGTTTATCACTAGATGATGAAGTCCTTGATAAGGTTATCTGTTCCCTCTCTTTACTTCATTACGACAACCGGCCTGTGGCTCAAAAGATATTTTCTCTTTTAAGTGAGAGAGAAATACTGGCAAAGGCTGAAGAAAATGAGAGCCAAGAGACGCTTGATAAGCTCCGCCTACTCTATGTCCTGGCTGTTTATCATCCTGCTATGTCATTCAATCAACAGCATCATTTATTGACCATTTTCTTGAGACATCTTGATGAACTTTATGAGCTAAGAGAAAAAGAAATAGAGAGAAAGGTACTGTATGTACATGTACACGTACATGTAGGAGGAACTTTTTTGAATGTTTTGTGTAAAGTTGTGATGAAAAGACTTAGCCTACATGTACATGACAGTGTGTTAGTGTGGGTGTGTTTGTTGCTAAAATTAATTAGAAAATTTACTCACTTCTAATTGTATAAGAATTACAGTATATTTTGTTTGTGTGGTATGATACATGGTTCAGTGTATCTTATGGTTCATGTTGACTACAAACGTCAAGGACATGTAATTGAAGATGTTGTCTTTGGCATCGAAAGGGTAACATGATCCTCTATCGTTACTCATCTCTCCTCTCCCCTCTTACTTTATGTATAAACTCGTGCATGTAAAGTACTGACAGCACACAGTACCCCTAAAATCTCAATGCTATTTGTATTTGCCTTCCTGTTCTATTACTTACTTTTGTTGTTGCTACATTGTGACATATTCACTAGTTACATTGTCATTGTATGTCTGTGTTACATAATGTCTCTTTTGAGTCATTTGTACTAATTCTGTTTTGTGTTATAATTACTATTTTGCTTTGATATAGAAAGAAGAAGCTGAAACCATTGCCTTGGCAGCATCAGAGCGTCCCAGCATACCTTCTGATGAAGGTAAATATGTAACTTATGGTTATTAGTTTTCTCTTTCTTACTCTTCTTTCTTCTTCTATCTCTCACTCTCTCCTTCCATTGCTCCTCTTTTTTTACATGTATTAACTTTTATATTATATTTTTATAGCAACAATAAGACGCTGTGAATTGAAAGGTGTATACAAGAGACAATCAGATAAAAGATATCCATATATATTAGAGGTGATTACATGTACATGTACATGTATGATAGTTTTTGATTTTCATTTATTTCTCATTAATGTATGTACATGTAAGTTTTCATTTATTGTAGTGACTTGACATTTTATTAGCACTGTATCTTTAATTATCTTTTATAATTCCTTTAGGTGGAGTGGTCTAATGGGGCTTGTTCTCACATTCAGCGTACATATGGTGACTTCTTTACATTTCAAAATAAGGTACTGTAGATGCACGTGCTCTCGTATTTAAAAGATAAATGATGCTAATGTACACAATGTACATGCATGTATGTGTAGTCCTCAATGATTTAATTAATGGTTAGATGTATGTACATGTAGTGTCTTACGATATATCAAATCTCTTTTCATTTTTATTAAATTTTTGTAGTACGTAGAGCTATAGCCTATACATGTACAATGTACAGTATGTTAATTTAGTGTTAATTTTAATGTTAATTTTTATTCCTCAAAATTAAAGTCTAGTACTTTGAGCAACACTTTTGAAATTTTATTGAAGCCACTAAATCAGCACTATATATGCATCATACATTATTTTCGTAGCTTTTGTTTTTATTTTCTTTTAGCAACAATTGAGGCCCTTCTACATTGTACTGTACTTATGTGAGTGTGTATTGTCATACATGTGTACATGCACAGTATGTACATGTACAGCATGTACATGTACAGTATGTACATGTAATGTGTAATTTGTATACAGTTGTAGTTGCAATAGCACAGATCAGGCACATCTTTAATGTTCTGTCCTTTAAATTTGTGTATATGTACATGTAGCTGTTGGACATATTTCCTGAGGAATCTGGACAGAGGAGTAAGAAGCAAAGAGTGATACCATTCCTGCCTGGTAAGACAAGAGAGACAGAGATATGTAGTAAACAGCAGTAACATGATAATGTGTTGATTAGCTGTTTATAACTGAATAATAGAGTGAAGTCTCCTGCTTCTTGTCATGTCCTTCCTCTTGTGTTTCTTTTACTGTGTACTTGTCCTGTTCTCTTTTACATACATGTANATGTACATATACATGTACATGTATATGTACATGTATATGTACATGTACTCTATTCTTCATTCTCCTCATTACCTTATCCTTTCACTCATACCTCTCCTTTTATTGCTTTCTCTCCTCTCTCTTTACAATGTCTTTGGTCCTTTTAATTGCTTGATTTGCTTCCCCCTCCTGTTCTGTTGTATAATTGTGCATGTATGTTACAATGTAGTGAATGTACACACACATTTTACATGTTTTGTATTTTTATTTCTTCTTGTGGGTTTATGGTGGGTTGAATTTGTAGTACTCAAATTAAGTTATAGCATACCACTTATTGTAATAAGCATGTACATGTACTACAATGTATTACTTGTATCCAAGGAACAGGTACATGTACATGTACCTGACTACCTGTGCATGAAGGCCTAAAAGTAGTATTTTCATGCTTTAGTGTACAAATCTACATGTGCAATATCTTTTTTATAATTTTGTGTTGGCAATTTCAAATTCTGCCACTTGCCTAACAAAATGCGTTTTACATGTACATGTACATGTAAGTCATGAGAATGAGGTATTAGTCAACTTACATGTACATATGTTAGTATTTTGACTGTATCACTTTTTGTTAGATACTATTATTGGGTAGTGGTTATGTTACCTCTTAACTTGCCATTCCCTTGAGATTTAAATTTTGCCATGCAATTCATCTATTGGGAAGTGTTTCTTCATCTAGCAAATTAGATGTATGAAATTCATCTTTAAATTTGATATTCTGCCAAATTAGGATGAAATTGAGACTAATGAATATTGTTGCATGACTGCACACATATAATTTTCAGTAGCACTATTCTTTTGGTATTTGCACAACAGTAGGTACATGTATAGTGATACAAATATACTATTAGCTATTAGGATTGTTACATGTACATGTATAGGTATGTGTATTAATGCATGCACTGTAAAATGTTTACTGAGAGTTTTCATTGGAAAATCTGGTCTTTTTGTAACAATTTTTTGAAGAACACACATAGACATGCTATACAGGAAAGAGAATGTGTGTAAGAGTCTTGGTCTCTCCTCCTCAGTATTCATGTACATGTACATTATAATATTTTTGTAATGCAGTAAGTCTATAACTTATTATACATGTACATGTACATGTATGTACAAATATGGATGTACAATTGTACATGCATGTATATGCCTGAAAGCGTGGTGAACTTATAATGTACAGTGTCACATTCACTTTTACTGTACATGTAAATATGGATTATTTATTGAAGTTTATCTTATTTCTTAATGGTTTGTATTAGCAGAAATTTTGAAATTACATGTAATGCTCCTTATGTACACACGTGATGTGTATCTTTTTCCAAAACATGAGATTAACATGTATACACATGTACAGTTTATCTTACTTAAATTAAATAGCTGCTGCAGTATACTAGATATGTGTCCTTGTACAAATCGACAATTTTAACATTAAACAACTTCGAATGATGTTTTAACATTTGCTTGAATATTATATACATGTACATGTATGTACACATAGGTAGAAAATTGCTCTCTGGTCGTACTAATAGAGAATTAGCAGAGAAGCGGTTACCTGATCTCTGGAAATATACTCAGTAAGTGCCTGCATGCTTTCTTGACTTTCATGTACATGTACATGTACTGTAGATTGTATGTACATGTACACTGTTATTTTACTTTTATTGTTTTACTCCATATAGTGATTTATTTACACTGCCAGAACACATTTCACAATGCAAGCATGTGATAGACTTCTTCCGGCCACGCCAGACTGATGCTAGAGATGAAATACTAGCCAATCACAAGATAACTACACTAGCAGGTAATTTTTACGCACCTCCTTTGAAGCATTGCAGCTTTTGTACTGATGTTATTGATGTGGAATTAGTTCAATTGCTTTATTCTTCACTTTTTTACCTGTACAATGTACATGTACATGTATGTATCATACTTGTAGACAGGAAGCATTAGATTTACATGTGCACATGTGCATGTAATAATGTAACCAGAAATTTGTAGCTCGAAATTCCTCGTAGTATTAAAAATTCTTACGGCATATCGCAGGTTCAAGTGCATTCACAAGAATTACATTGGACATGTGTAAATCTGTAAAAGGGTTTTACTGACTACCGTAATTCCTCTAAAAATTCGTCACATCAGGTTTTGTATTTGTAATTTTTAAAAACGAATTTTTAGAGGAAGAGTAGTTATGAAGCTTTTTAATTTATTATTTTGTCGAATTTGGAGGGATTCATTAATACACAAAACCAGCTACCTTAGGGTGTGTATTAATTGCGCTCTTAAATTTTAGCGTTTTTTAGGGGACCCTGATTTAGCGAAATGTAATATTAGCGAAAATAGGAAGAAAATCAATGGTAAAACCCACATTCAATAGCATAACACTACTCAAGAAGCCCAATCTATACATTTAAGAGCAGAATACTCAAAAGGGTCACCCTATCTACTGTTATCTTGTTACAGATCTTGCCTCTCTTGTGTACTAGCTTGTAATAACTATTATTAGTGGCTGGTTGAATTAGCGTTTTTAAGGTCTGACCACAAGGTGCCAGCAACAAAGTTGCTCAGTGTATGTTGGGCTTTAGCTCTCACTAAAAACCTGCATTTAAATGATACACTTTGAAATCCATTTTCGTTGCTCTAGAGTTTTGTTAAGTTTTATTCATAGCTGAAGCATTAAACAGGCACAAAACGATACAGATTGCATTTTATCATTTCATGTACATTGTACATGTACATTTACAGGTACATTGTACATGTAAATGTACATGTACATGTATGTGTACATTAAACTACTACCATATAGCGGGAAGTTTTGGAGAAGAGTAAATTTGGGATTTTAATAGCAATTCACCAAACCATTTTGAGCCATTATACACATGCTCAATGGCACATGGCCACAAATTTGCCAAATTAAAATCCACCAATCACGAAAAATTAGCAATTCGCCAAATTTTAGTCCTTCCAAAATTTCCCGCTATACGGTATTTTTGTGTCAGGTAGTGATAATTTTAAAATTCCGACGGTATATTAATTCCTGATGTTGTATCTCTTTCTAAGAATGTCACTAATTTCTTGTTTGTGACAATCAACACAAATTCCTAACTGATTATGTTGACAAGTTGTCATGGCAGTGAATTCATATAACTTTATGAGTGTTTCTATTACCTCAATAACTATTATACACGTGTACTACATGTACTTTGCTTTGGTGGCATTTTAATATTTTCTTTAGCTACTACATGTACATGTAAATACGATCATAAGCAATAAAAGAATTTTGTCTACACGTATGATCACATTTTCTCTTTTTATACATGTAGATATGAAAAATGCTAAGCCAAGAGGTTCTGTATCTTTTCTCAATAGCTCATCTCCATCCTCCTCCCCCTCTCGTCCGCACTCAGCCATACAACATGTTCTTAATCCATCTTCTGCCTCTCCATCTGCACGAAGCTCCAATACCCTCCCTGCACAGCAATCGCCTGGTCAAAAAGACTCCAATCAAATTAATAGGAGATCAACTTATCCAGCACGTCCCAGTGGGACCAGTGCTTTTACTGTTGTAACTCCAACTGGTTCAAGTGAAAAACTACACTCATTATCCCAGACCTCTATCACTAGTACAAATGAGGTTTTGAATCCTCCCACTACTGTTGCCTGTCACGTTGTGACACCTCCTACTAGTAGGAGTAACGGCTCTCCTGCTTTTTCTGTGAGTAATAATAAATTTAATTCTCCAGTTGGAGGAGGAGGAGGAGTATGGGATTCTGAGTCACCTACTGTTATCAAGTTTGTGCGATCAGGTAAATCAAAAGGAGATAAAGGAGAGAAATCAAAGGAGAGTAAACGTAAAAACAGCAAAGAGAGCAACAGCTCATCATCCCTCAATAAGGCAGATACACTCACTCATAAATCAGCTCCTAGTTGGGCTGATAGATGCGATTCCCCGCCTAACATTGAGTCAAGTTTATCACCTTTCCAGACTGTAACCACTACTTATAATACCCCGCCTACCTCCTCTACTCATCGTACAACTACTCCAAGTGTTGTTCCTTCCTCTGCTCCCCCTGAGACAGGGTCTCTCTCTTTCTCTCCGTCACTCCCCCAGCTGTATCAGTATGGTCTTCATACTCCTTTATATCCAATCTCTTATACCCCAACGCATTTTGATACTCCGTCACCTAAACCCACTCCATTGGGTAGTCGTACACCAGGGACGCCTACAACAGAGGCTGAGCATTTTAAGAAATGGTTGAAGTGCCATAGACTTCATAAATATGATAATTTATTTACCAACATGAGCTTTGAAGAGGTACTGTAGGTGTATACTGTATACATGTACAATGCATGTACACAATGTGCATCAAGAGATTATTATTGCAATAGTATATAACTGCATGTGTTCTAATGCAATTTCATGTGCATTTACTGTACGTTTGTAGGATTTGCAAAGCAAAAATTACATGTACAAGTAGAGCTCTATTGTGTCCAGAATAAAGTCATTCCATTGCCTTATCTTATACCCATATACACATTGTGCACATGTGCATCATATACAGTACAATGACATACAATAAATTGTACGTACACACTGATTCCTCTTTACTGACTATTTCGTTATTCATTTGTACATGTACTGTACATGTTCATGTGTCATTTATGATTTTCTTTCCCTTCTCCTGTAGGTCACAAAGTTAACAGTGGAAAATTTAAAGAGCATTGGAATGACACAGGGAGCTGCAAAGAAACTCTCACAAAAATTAAATGAGCAACTGTAAGTGAACAATTTAGAAATTTTAGTAGGATTTGTAATTGTATATGTACATGTACATGTATGTACATGTGCCTGTAATTTTACATTATTTTGTTTTAAAATTTTCTCTTTTCATTCCTCTTTAGAATAAATGGTGCAACGTCATTTCGTGACATGCCAATACCAGCCATATCACGACGCCCATCAACCACTAGCCTTCCTGCTGCTCTTTTGTTAGAGAGGCAACAGTTAACTCCCTCATCATCTATCGACCAGCTCAGTCTGCATGGTGGCAGTACTTGCAGTCTTGATGTACTTGGTCATAGTTACTCTCACCACAGCACACCCAAACATCTTCACCGCCATAGTGACAGCATTTCAGATGCCAATACAGTTGATACTGCCATTTTAGAGGCTGGACCTTCTTCTAATGTTTACACCAGAGGAGGTAATGAGATTGATGGCTCTAGAGGGAATACTGTCAATGGACAGTCTAGATTATCTTACACTTCATCCTCTCCTCTTCATTGGGCTCCTACTCCCTATGTAGTCACTACGCCTACAGATAAAGACACAGAGTTAAAAGATGAATTTAACAGACCAACATATTCACATAAGAAAGAATCAGATCATCAACCACGTCTGCCCCATCGTCTTGTACCTCAGGGAACTACCAATAGAATGCAAGGGATTGTAGCATCAAACTGGCCTCATCCTTTACCTGCTCCTCCTCCTACTGTACCGCCACAAATGGTCCGTGGTGTCCACAGAAACAGTCAACCTGTTTTGACGTACACTCAGACAGTAAATGGACTAGTTCGCTCTTCACCAGTTTTGCATGCTGGTTCTGGTCCTCCTAGTAATAGATACTCCGCTCCTCCGATCCAGCAATCCTTAGCTACTCCTCAAATTTATTATTCTTCTTCCTCTCGGTCTCCCGGCCCATCTCCCTCATCTTCCTATTCTTGTTATAATTGTGGCAATAGAGGACACCAAGGAGTTACCTGTCCTTTACTCTATACCTCTCCTCCTTCATCCTCATCCAATAATAGTGCGCTATTGAGAAGTTGATGTAGCTACTGTCTAGATAGTACCATTTCAATTACCTCGTTGCTTTTTCTTCCTAATGCTATTTCTCCCTCCCTCCCCTTTCTCTCCTTCTCTCTCTGTCCCTTGATCCTGTCATCCATTCATCATTCCTGTTAAACCTTGGCCCCCTCTCTCTGCCTCACATAATAGTGTCATCAAGATAATTTGGCATGTACCCTATTGTACGTTTATAAGAAGACTGTTATTAGTATTAATTAAAACACTCTGATTTACGACACTTCTATTCACTGTCAATCTTTTTAGCTCCATGCAGCCGTTGTCCTATCTATGTCATTCTCCTTTTTATTATTCCTCATGTGCTGCTTAATAATAATGAATTATTATGATCCAATCTTAATCAATACCTTGAGCAATAATGTTACTTTGCATTCAATGCATTGTTTCAGCTTATCAGCATGATGAATTAAATCGAATTTCGTTTTGATGGGTGTGGTTGTATGTACTTTGTCCCCGACTCCCCGCCCATTGCCAATGAAAATGGACATTGGAAGTCATTGCTCTGTTTCTTCTTGTAGAAAACTAGGTTAGTAACAGCAAAAATAAAAAGTATTCTTTTTTTCTTGTATAGACTTCCTCCCTTTTGTCTGTGACGGATGTAAGAAAATATTTTGGTACGATTTTAGTTGGATACATGTACCTTAAAGTTGATTTGAAATATTTTAATTGTGATTTTAGGATATTATGTTAATATTTGCAATTGAGTAATGATTTATTTGCAATCAATAGTACTAGCATTTTAAACTCACTTTATGGTATTTAAACTTTTTGTTTAGCTCAGATCACAGAAGTTCTGAAACTCATAATTGTATCTCCATTTCTACATCATCACCAGCAGAAGTATATAAAAATTTTGCGTATGAATACGTCCAATTTTTATTATCAATCAAAAATTATGTATTTGATTCACTGCATTATTAGTAGGTGTGTGGCATCAGTAAAGCACCAAAGCTTACTGTATCTTGTAGTCTTCCTCATTGTCATCACACTGATTCTATTGTAGAAGTAGTGTGCAAAGATTGTGGAAATGTGTACTGTTTGAAGTAGGTACATGCAGGAGTTATGGATTTTATATTTTGATTTTTTATGGAAATTGTATACAATGGCTTTTATAACTTTATTATAGTCACCGTAATCCTGTTGAGCATAATTGTAGTTCACTATTGATCAAGTCAAAACCACAGAGTATCCACCATTCCTCTTCCTCCTCTACCTCCTCTTCATTATTTCAAAGGAAACCACAAGGTTAGCAATTGTTGAGACCGTGCATGTGTTTGTAATTCCTCATTAAAGGTCCAGCCTCAGTTACTCTTTCAGCTAAAGTAGCTCTGATGAAACTCAAACAAAAAGCAATGCCTTTGGCATCTACTGGAATACCTGATGTTAGTACTGCATCCTTGTACGTTTATGTACATGTATATACATGTATATATAATTTATATATCATTGTACGTGTACATGTACAATGTAGTAAGTAATTGTACATTGTATGTCATTGGAAAATATGCTAAAGTGCTAGCCAGAATTATTGTTAGCTGATATGAGGGCTTGGGTTTGTATATCTAATGCTGTTAATTATTGTGTGATTTTGTACATGTAGCTTAATCAATAGTGATTAGTTACACCTGTGTAGAACATACATGTACATGTACATGTCTTTACTGACTGGTTATTAATTTTTCTTTTTATTAATATTTTTAAAAATTTTAATTATGCTAATGTTTGTAGTTATTGATTGTATTACTTGTATGCATACAAAATATGAATTGCATCAGAGTAAACAGTTCATAGCGAATTTGATCAAGCCGTGATATTTGACTGCTCATGATGATAGGAATTCTATATGTGGTCATGATAGCACATAATAGGCATGGGATATTGCCTTGTAGTTTTGTAGCCTTATTTCTTGAAATGCTAACTTGCCAAAGAAATTTATGTTCTTATTCATTTTTGGAATTGCCTCTAAATTTTTTCCTCGGCATTATTACTTGACTTTTAGAATTTTTTGTCTTTTGTTTCACTGAACTCCATATTTAAGTCTAGATAGCTTTCCATTGTTATACTTGTACATGTATGTGAATCTACACATGCATTGCAACATCAAAAGGATAGTAGTAACACGTTTATTGCACTGTTGTTTACTTTATTGTCAATACATATTTTAGTGTGATAAATTATTTGATCATGAAACTAATTACTCTGTAAATGGCATCAAGAGTCCATAATAAGCTATGCTGATTTGACCACAAATGAGTCACAGTGTAGCCTGAAGCCCCATAAAAAGGAAGTAATAGTGATGTTGCATTTATAGGCCTCTGAATCATCCTCATTCTTACTGATGTTTACGTAAGTACTTTTGTGGTGTGCAAGTAGTTTTTTTGAAAACATTTTCAACATAATTATGATTCCATTTGCAATTTAATGCTCTTGCTAAAAGCTCTAAAATAACACACAACTACAGTAAAGTATTAGTTTCTTTAAGTAATTTCAATGTCCAGTGGTTACTCTCAGACAATAATTTTTCTGGTTCCAGTGTAGACAGTTTAGTTATGATGATCTTCGAATAATTTTCTATCCTTTGTGAAAATGACGCTAAATTAGATGTTTATAATAATGTTTGTAGTAGTGACATGTAGTTATTTATTTGACAATTGTATTTACATGTACATGTATAACATGTACATGTGCATTTAGTTGACTAAAGCAAATGGATCATAATAAATGTATTTTTGGTTTTAGTTAACTAAAAAATGCTTCTCAGCCCAACTTTATTGACAATGAAAACTTGGGTGCAGTACCTTTAGTTTTAATTACATTATCTCAAGCAATAATATAATTTATAAAGCCATAACTTCTGTTATTGCATAGTGGGTTTCCACTTTTTTATGGGTTTTATTTCTGTTTTGTGGCACAACCTTGCCCATTTATTTAATTTGAGCTTTTTTTATATTTGTGGACTTAGTATTTTCATTTTGGAGTTGGAAAGCGAAAAGAATGAAAGTTTGACCAAAAAATTTTATCTGCTAATGGCTACAATCACATGCATGTACTACAATTATTATTGTAATACCAATAGCTTCATATTTTGTAGTCAAATAGTTATGCTTCTGATTCACAAATTTCAATGTAATTTAGATGAATCAATCAACACTTGCAGCTGTTAAATGGTGATCATTTTTCTGATTTGTGATCGTTAATTAAGACTTCATGTAATTTTTTGACCACAAAAATTTGGAGATGTACATGTAGTATGAAACTCAGTTGTGTTAAACTCACAGAAATTGAAGTACATTTACATGTAATATGCATGTATGTATTCGCTTGGTAGTTGTGCAAATTCTCTTATCTCATATCTCTTTTAGTCTGAGAAAGTATTTTATGAAATAACATTACCAAAGGAATATGGAAAGAAAAACTATCCAGTGCTTTTATCAAAGGTCAGTTTGTTTTTTCTGAAATGAGATTGTGTGATGGCGCATTTAGTGGAAGTCTTAAGCTGGGTTCAGAATATTTGCCATATTGCTGTGTAAGTTGTAACATAATGTAAAAATAAAATATTTGTCCTCTGTGTTATAGAGCACTTACAAATCACAATTGCAATGATGTTAATACTATTACTAAATTTTGACGATATTTTGATAAAGAATTGAGGAAGCATTTACATTCATGTGATAGTTGTCCTAATAATTACTATATGACATGATTACTGCATGTTGAAGAAATAGGTCATGCCAATTATAAACCCAGCTTAAGTGTTGGATATATGCATGTACTGTACATTCATGTATTGGCTAGTGCCATTAAATGCCTAATTTTTCTTATTTTTGTACATTTTGTCATAAATTATTATTTATGACTTACAGGAATGGAGTGTGGGAAAAGTAGTGGATAGTATTTCAGTAAAATTCAAACTACAAAATAATAATGACAAAGTTGGAGCTAAGGTACTGCTAATAATATGGCTTGATTTTAATGCACAGACTGTCCTATCTATCCATTAGAAGTTAGTACTGTTGAATTCTGCTAGTGATCAACTGTCAATGAGTGCTAAAATTGGCGATTTAGTAGAAACAAATTACCCTAATGGTTCATCACTTCAACTTGAGTATCTGTAATGACTTTTTAGGCATTATTATTATTATTATTATTATTATTATTATTATTATTATTATTATTATTATTATTATTATTATTATCATCATTATCATCACTATCAACAAACAGGGCAAAACAAGTTAAAAATAAGTTAAAAGAAATAAAGAAGGAAAATTAGATTATTATTGTTATTATTATTGATTATTTTATTTATTATTATTCATGTACCATTGCATAGCCCTGTTTTTGTGAAGCTGTGAAATTCATTGTTATTTTGGTGATATTTATGGGCTGAATAATTATTGGCACTGGTTGCTTATGTACCCTTCAGTATACACTGGAGGATAGAAAATTGCATGGAAGTGAAGCCATAAAGGATTATTACATAGAAATGTAGTGTGGTAAAGGAATTAAAATTATGACAGATTACCTGTTTATATGCTCTAATAACTTGACATTGTACTGTTGCATCAAAGACGCATGTAGTATAATTGTGTTACTTAATTGCTTTTAATAATAATAATAATAAGACCGCGCCCGCGCACCTTCAAAGTTTCATCATTAACATACCAAGCAACTCACAAAGTTGTACTTGCTAGCTTTTGACTCAGCGAGCCCTGAGAACAATTTGCTTTAGTAGTGATGGAAAATGACCAAATCTCTAAGAAAACTTTCCAGTGGGTTTACACACAGCAGCCTCACGTTGCTAGGAGAAAGATTATATTAGGTAAGGCAATTCGGGCTTTAACTGTTCACACTGATACTGTAACTTTCGTTATTGTAAATTATGTTTTACAGTTGAAAAATCATTATTGTTATTATTACTATAATTTTAAGTCTGTAATGCTGTTCTGTAACTTTGACTAGATTCTGTATCGTAATGGTACTTTTGCATTATTTTCATTAGTCCATGAGTGTAACCCGGCATGTACTATCATCATAATAGTCTAGTACTAGTATAAATTACAAACTTCTGTCTATAGAAAAGTATCCGGAAATCAAAAAGCTTATGGGACCTGATTCACACTTGAAATACATTGTTTCTCTTCTGGTACTATTTCAAATTGTCTCCTGTTTCTGCATTTCCTCTCTTTCATGGCCATTGGTAGTATTCCTGTCTTATGTTCTTGGTGGTGTTATTAATCATTCGTTGACACTAGCTATCCATGATATATCACATAATGTTGTGTTTGGAAATTATTATCCCCTTTCTAACCGACTCTTTGGCATTTGGGCCAATTTGCCTATTGGAGTGCCAATGTCTATTTCTTTCAAGAAATATCATGTTGAACATCACAGATATTTAGCTGTGGATTACTATGATACAGACCTTCCAACTAAATTTGAGGGCTTGTTCTTTAGTAATATTCCACTCAAAATACTCTGGCTTTTCTTGCAGCCCCTTTTTTATGCATTTCGGCCATTTGTTGTGCGTCCCAAACCACCAACGAAACTTGAGATTCTCAATGCAGTGATTCAGATACTGTTTGATGTATTCATATATTATTTTTGTGGCATCAAAGGACTCATGTACTTAATATGTGGCACATTTTTATGCATGGGGCTGCATCCAATGGCTGCCCACTTCATTGCAGAGCATTACATGTTTGACAGAGGTTACGAAACGTATTCTTACTATGGTGTTTGGAATTATCTCACATTTAATGTTGGATACCACATGGAGCATCATGACTTTCCTTACATTCCTGGCTCTAGGCTTCCTGAAGTGAAAAGAATTGCAGCTGAGTTTTATGATCCACTTCCACAACACCACTCATGGTTACAAGTAATTTGGGAATTTTTAACACATGAAGATAAAGGACCACAGTTTCGAGTAAAGAGAGACTATGATGAGACTTTTGGTGTAGAAAAGGAAAAAAATCCATTTCTTAAAATTCCTACACCACAAATTTGGCCTTTACGAAATGACCTTACTATGGGAATGGGACTAAGAGACAAAGGTAAAGAAATTGACTGGTTTCTGAATGACTTTTCATCGAAGTAAAACACAGGAAATCTTTATTTTATTTTTCAATTTTTTAATCTTTAATATTTATCTCAGTTTAAATTTTATCTTTTGAAATTTTAAATTTTTTTATCTTTAACTATATTCTGGCACCTTATGATAATGAAGTCTCACACTTTAATAATAATAATTATAATTGGATTCTATATTTACATTTCATGCAGTAGTGTCCTTAAACAAGACTTGTGTTTACATGCATGTCATTAATGGGCCCGGGGCAAGCACTGAGCGGAGTGAGCGCTATGAGTGACAACGATTGGCATTGTTGGATTTGTTGCATCCTGCTCTAAAAATAGATTCCTTAATTCTGTTCTTGTGATGTAATAATGACGTAATTATTGATCAATGACGTTTTTTTATTAATGAATCATGAATATTAATTAATATTGCGCCATTTCAGCCATTAGCCATGAAACACATGTAATCAGCATCTTGTAAAAGATCTCATCCCAGCAGGAAACGATTTGTTTAGGACTGGGGATAGCTTTATCAAATACTCAATTTTTATCATCGTGTCGTGTGACAAGAAATTATGGCAGTACGAGTTCAGTTTGAAGGAAATAACGAAGTTGGAGTGTTCTCCATGTTGACTAATGCTTACTGTCTTGTGGCTATTGGAGGCTCTCAGAATTTTTACAGGTTTGCACTACATGTATACCTATGAATTATTTTAAGTAGCTGCCTAAATAATGTCATATACCTTAGTTGCCACTTACCAATGCTATTTTCTCGTTTCCTGGGGAATAATTTATTGAAGATGGCACTGCAAAATTGGTGTGGCTAAATACAAACTAAACGATAATCCCAACACAAATCTAAATGTGTGCCATGCCTCTTCCGGTGCTGTCTTTATTATGTGACTCTTTTATATTAATGGTATAATCCACCCGCATTCTAAAAAGCAAGAAGGCCTCATGATCAAAGATCAAAGGTAGTGAGTGATCAGTAACATTAACAATCCACCATTTTGTGTGATAGATTTACTGTATGATATTACTTTGATTTTTAGCAAAGCATATCTGGTCCATATGTACATGTACATGTCAGGGTTGGGGTGAAGTACATTGGTACTTATACTCAAGTCTTTTAAAGTTTTACCAATGTACTTCTACATTGTACTTATACTTAAGTATTGGTCTATGTACTTGATGTACTTGATGTACTTGTAAGTCTTTTAAGTACTGTTTACTTAAGCACTTTTGTTAAAAGCTATCATGTACTTGTACTTACTTAAGTATTTTTTAAATGTACTTGGATTTTACTTAAGTACTTTTCAAAGTACTTGAGTAATATACCTTAAAGCCACTTATTTTTAAGTAGACAAATTTTTGCCATTTGTTAATGGTATTGATTTAACGTGTACTAATCTTTTGCAATTTTGCTCATTTTTTCAATTAATAACTATTAATAAACATAAATTATTAATAAATGTGAGTACTAATTTTTGCGATTTTAAAGCCACTTACAAAAAACGCAAAAAATTAGTACTCGCAAATAATAGTGGCCTTAAAGTACGACTATACGACTATACTATACAAATGTATGACTATTGTGCTATACTACTATTTTTAATTGTACATGTGCATGTATTTTTTTATTTTTATTTCTACATGTAGATGAAACTCTATTATCTATAGTGTAAATTTACTAAATTATGTTATGCCCACTTAATATTATGCGTTTTTACTAATTTTTGGTTCTGTGATTATTTTTATCATTAATCCTTACTTGTTATTCTCTCCTTCATGACACACACTACTTTGTTTTATTTTTGCAGTTTACTTTTAATGCAAAATGTTAAGTTTAGTGCACATGTACATTTTGTGTGGTCCAGTTCCATTTGCCATCTTTTGTTATGCATGTACATGTACATGTACTAGGCTGTACTACCCATTTTATATAATGTATTTATTGCTCAGTGGGCAGCAATGTTTTATGCATGTAGATGCTATTATGCCTTAGAACTGAAGATGGAAATATGATTTATAGCTACATGTATAAAAATTTCGATATTAGTATTGCTTGTATAATTGCACTATACGTGCATGTTACTGATTATTGGTATGATAAACAATTTTTCCTTTAGTGTGTTTGAAGGTGAGCTGTCTGATTCAATCCCAGTAGTACATGCTTCTATTGGTGGATGTAGAATTGTTGGTAGAGTATGTGTAGGTAAGAAATTGCTTTATTTGTTGTCATGATATTTTTGAAGAATTTTGAGTGAATTGTACATGTATTTGCACAATATGACCTGCTTTTTGAATCATTACATGTACCTGTAGTTTATATACATGCATGATGAAATTTATTTTGTCTTCTATTGTACACTAAAGTACATGTGCAATATTGCCTGTGTTCTTGTACAGCAGAAAGAAAAATTCACAAAATTGCCTTTTTTAATTGTTACATACATGTAAATGTATGTCTTAAGACATAATTCATTCCTTCATAAGACATGCTGTCTTTACTTCAGTGTGTTCATGTAAATGTACATGTAAATTTATGTTAATTACATATTATTTGTTCTCTTATTTGACAGGTAATAGAAATGGCTTATTAGTGCCTAATACAACAACAGATCAAGTAAAACTATTATAAATTGTGCCTTTACATGTAATTATCATTTTATTTATAGGAATTACAACATTTGCGTAATTCATTACCTGACAGTGTTAAGATACAGAGAGTTGAGGAGAGGCTGTCAGCTCTTGGCAATGTTGTATCGTGTAATGACTATGTTGCTTTGGTACACCCTGACTTAGACAGAGTAAGGATGTGAACATTGTACGTGTACATGTACACCATTTATGCAGTATAGGGATGTACATGTACCATTTTCTTTTACACATGTACATGTACCTTTGGGTCAACTAGGATATTCAACATTGGAAACCACATTTTGATCTTATTTAAGTTGCCCTTCCCTGGGTTTAAAGGATTTTTTAATTTTACATTGTACTTCTGTGACTAATATCCTATTTGATCCCAGGGTTTCCCATAATAGAGCATGCTAAGTGAACTACTTGTAAACAGCATGCTTCATGAACTAACAAGTAATAAGCACTTGGCATTTGAAGCAACTTCAAAAATTCAATAAAAATTCAGATTTGATTGGAATGAGCTCAAAGTTGATACACAGCTCATAAGGACATGTATATGTGTCAGTAAAATGGAGAATTCTTTTTTAGCCATTTTGATTAAATTTGCCTTTGGTCTTGGTCTAGTTTTTGAGCAACTTTTAAAATTTATTTTTAAGAATCCAAATTTGATTGGAATGAGCTCAACATTGATAGGCAACATAAAAACATGCTTACATGTACAACACTAGCCAGCAATATTTTGACAAACGAACGATCACTGTATGAAGACTAAACTCATTTAGTGAACAAAATAAAATGTGACAATACATAGATAGTCAACCACATTATGTTTGAATTTACACAAGTTACGTTTTTTTGCCAGAGGTTATGGTAACATTTGAGCATGGATATACATGTATTGTTAGTTTACAACTAGTATATTGCTATGAAAACGGTGAACTATAGTAAACTCAACTCAAATGCAAAACGTGTCAACTTCTTGCTGACCAGTGCCATACATGTATGTATCAGGAAAAAATTTAAATGGAAAACCTTTTTCTTGATGGGTTTTGGCTCAATATTTGAGCAACTTGACAATCTACTGACAAGAGGCTGCATGAGCACTGTACTGAAATTTTGTGGGAAATCCTGTTTGATTCATATATTCTATTATACAGTATAAGCTAGAATTTGGCATTACTAAGTACAGTACGTCCTCAACAGGGGCGTATCTAGGACTTGGAGAAGAGGGGTGCTGAGGGCGCGCGAAGCGCGCTGTGATTTTGGCCACACCCACTTTTACGGCGGTAAAACGGCCTTTTCCTGCATTTTCGTCAATTATGGGTGGGGCCAAGATCATTTCAAGCATACTGCTATGTTACTGGTACTTCTGATTGCTCCTTAAAGCACTGGAAACTGCTGAAATCATGATAAGGGGGCTAGATAACTTTGTTAAGAGGCTTGGTAGTGATGCAAGAGTCCAGGACTTCAGTAATTTTTTCTGAGCCCAGCCCTGAGGGGGGTGCTCAAGCCCCCTCAGCCCCCCCCCCTAAATACGCCTCTGCTCGATTATCTGTGCCTCTTTTATCCAAACCTTCGTTTACCGAATGCATGGCTGTCTCTAATGTGCATGCTCAGACTAGTTAATTTATTAATAACTGATTAAAATGGCTACTGCAGCAAAGAGCTTAACCAAGAGGAAGACCATCAAAGAGAAGCCTTAGATGCTCTACAAGTTAGAGAAAGAAAAGTCATGTACATTTATTCGTTAAAAAAGTATAGGACAGGTTGGTCTGCTGTACTCTGCGCTGTATTTTTCTTATTAAGATTGTTTCAGCTATATGAACATATCTTCCAATAAAGGTGCACATAGGTGTTTTTGATAATCGAGGACGTACATGTACTGTATATTTTGACGTTTAACTATGGTAGCAACTACAATACACATGTATTTTATTCATCTCCAATTCTTCATTGTTCTAGTGTAAGCTTTATCGAATGATTAATGTAACATTTTTCCCTATCAAATTTTTTTCCTAAATTAACATTTATAAATGTACATGTATTTGTGGTCAGATATGAAGCATGTGTGAGAGTGCATTTATCAATTGAAGTACACTAGTCTACATGTATTATTAATTAATTCTAATACAAAATTTAACTTTCGGATGGTATACAGTATGCTATTGTCTCCACTCACCATGCAAAGTGGTGTGGCAACACTAACTAGTATGAAGCAACCTATTAAGATGATCCTGAGTCATTTAGAGACAAGTCATTATTATTCTTAGATTATTCCTGACTCTTAATGTCTTACGTGTAAATGTATGATGTCTGTCTCAAACCTCTAAGGAAATACAGTAATTATAGATTTAGAGTACATGTAGATAGGGAGCATAGCAAGCAAAACTTTTTATGTTTTTCTTATTTACAGGAAACTGAAGAGATATTAACTGATGTTCTTAAAGTTGAAGTTTTTCGACAAACAGTGGCATCAAATGTACTGGTTGGGACGTACTGTGCATTTAGTAACAGAGGAGGACTTGTAAGTTATCATGTGCATGTACTGTAGTACCTGTTGGTTCAAAGCTTTACATGTACATGTAGGTACTGTACATTTGTAAATGCATGCACTATTAGTTTTACCAACTTTTTGTACATGTAAATTGTACATACTACATAGCAGACCTGGGGTCAATTACAGTTGTAATTGTAATTGAAGGGTCAATTACAATTACAATTACATAATTGTAATTGTAATTGAACTTCAGCTTATGTAATTGAAGTTTCAAATATATTTGAGTTACCTAACTACAGAATGTACAGATGCACAAAGAAATGTTCTTTATGTACTTTGGTATCTTTGGGTGTTTTCGATACTGTAAAGTACCAAAATAACTTATGTTGTTACAATACATGTACATCAAATTGTAATTGTAATTGAAAATGTAATTGAAATTACACTATCATGGTGTAATTGTAATTGTAATTGAGTCTGTTTTTATAAAAGGAGTGTAATTGAATGCATAATTGTAATTGAACTTTTGTAATTGACCCCAGGTCTGCTACATAGTTATGTCTCTTCTATTTTTATGCATTGTATTAAGGCCAACAGTTAAGTTATATAGTTACATGTAAGGTATACTTAAGTTATAGAACTAAGTTGTATTTAAGGCCATTCATCCTTGGTAGCCACTAATGAATACAAGTTAAACTATTATATGTGCAGATGGACTTTGACTTGGGCTTCGACTTGGACTTGGGCTTTGACTTGGACATTGACTTGTGCTGCGACTTGGACTTGGGCTTCGACTTGGACTTGGGCTTTGACTTTGACTTTGACTTGGGCTTCGACTTGGACTTGGGCTTCGACTTTGACTTGGGCTTCGACTTGGACTTGGACTTGGGATTCGACTTTGACTTGGACTTCGACTTGAGCTTCGGCTTTCACTTGGGCTTGGACTTGGGCTCTTGCTTGGTATAACACCAGACTTAAAGAAGCACCAAGGCTCATTTTCCTATAATGGGGATGGATGAATGTATGCAACTATGCATGTGCATGTAAGTGACCTTTTCCTTCCAGCAACAGCCTTTTTCTATGCATTCTTCTTCAGTAGTGCCATAAGAGCCTATCATTTTGAATGAAATATTTTTTTGCCTTGTAGTAGTTATTACTTACCACAGTCAATTTTATCTTTAACATCAATGCATGCACTTTGAGCTGATGACTTTTTAAAGCAGTGTGGGTCTCCCTAGGAAAGAGTCAAAACAAGTCTTGTTTACATTATTACTTCTTCTTCAAGCCAGCAACATTTACGATCTATGCATTCATTCTCTTGAATTCCAAGATATCCTAAGCAAAAATAATAGTAGCTATTGTTTCATCTTTTATTTTGATGCTACAGTACCACAATCTGTTTTTTCCAAGTCAGGTCTGCAGTTGCCAGTATTAGAAACATCTGTCTGGTAGCACCAAGGATCCTTTAAGCTAGCCTGCAACATTATATACTTATTATTGGCTGCTTGTTGGTATTGTCATGAAAATTCATTGCAAGTACAGATATGAATGTTCATGTATGATAACAATAAATTGATCAATAACATACATCTGGTCTCCAACAACAGTCTCTGTTTGCACAACCGGTTTCATTTATTCCAAGAAAACCTGTTTACAAATGATAATACGTACATATATGCTTGCATATGTGGGATTTCATACAATTTTCACTTACCACAGTCATTCTTTTCAGAAACATCACAATTAATAGCCAAAGTAACTTTAGCACAGAGCAGAAAAATCCCAGATAAGATTAGTCCAACTTTCATGTTGCCAATAGTGTTAGTGAATGCTCCCTGAAAAAGTTATTAGGTTCTCGCTGACTAGCTTTGAATTTGTTCTCCCTCCTGAAAATGCGAAATAGATGTCAGTACAGGTATTATCACTACCTCCGTTGTCATGTAAACAACAATAAGCCATTGTTATTGAGTGCTCTGTAGTAGGAAGTATAGTGAAAAAATCTGGCTGAAGGTTTGGCCAGTTGTATTTTGTCACTAGTTTGGCAATCTCCACATACAGTACATTGTATTTGTTACAACTTGTACACGTTTTTAACTTTGGAAGGTACATGTACATGTAGATCTATATCTATCAGAAGCTGGCTCACAGTTACATGTACATGTAGGTGCATGTACAGTATGTACTGCCTCTGACAGTAAATATACATTTAGTTGCTTCTTTTATACATGTACTTAATCAACTCACAAATTCTTGTACAGTTGTAATATTTTTGACTTTTATTGTAATTTATGCTACATGTACGTACATGTAGCTTCAAACACGACAATTCACTGCTTTTGATTTGCATAAGTCAAATTTCCATTTCCAACATGCTTTATCATTTGTACAGTACATCAAGTACAATGTAACTTGTGAAAGTGAAATTTCATTTTGACTTTTAAAAAGTACATGTACATGTACATGTGTATTTGGCCTTGCAATAATTATTTTAAATGACTATACACGAATAACCTCAAGTACGTATACATGTTCATCTACATGTACATTATGTACTTGTATAATGATATGGAGAGGGTCTAATTTAGTGTTACACAATGTGCATGTACTCACTACTCGATGCTACAATGTGCAAATGCTTAATTATTTTTTAAAGGTTCATCCAAAGACTAAAATCCAAGACCAAGATGAGCTTTCATCATTATTACAAGTTCCATTAGTGGTAAGTTTATATTCCATTCAATGACATACCATATATGGGTTTTGTTGGTATAAAATTTTGTAAATTTGTTCAGATTTGCCATTTGTTGACATGAATATTTGCAAATCTTACCTTCTGTAGCCCCTAATGTGCCACACCTTTTTGTGGAATTTAATTTCACGAATTTAATGAAAACGTGAAATTTATTTCCAGTGAAATGTAACCCCTATACAGTAGATCTACTGTACATGTACACAACACACATTATGTATTCAACTTTGTCTCTCATTATAGGCTGGTACTGTTAATAGAGGTAGTGATGTCATAGGTGCTGGTATGGTTGTTAATGACTGGAGTGCTTTCTGTGGATTGGATACAACTAGTACTGAGTTATCTGTCATTGAGAGTGTGTTTAAGTTAACTGATGCACCTCAATCAGCTATTGTCACTGATATGAGAGAGTCATTACTAGAAACGTGAGTCAGTTTCATTTGCTATTATAGAATCTGTATGTTGTACATACATGTACATCCACTTCAATCATGTAACTAACTGATTTAGAGCTAGAAAGTTGTTTAGATATGTCAAAATTAAGAGACAAATGGCCACCATTTTCCTTTTCAACTGGGTTACATAGTCATAATGATATGAGGCCCTTAGCAATGATTATCCTTTTTTTATATTTCTGATGTGAGCAAAAAAAATTTGACACATTCCATTTTCCAAGTAGAAAGCAACTGAATTTATAGTGTAACTGTAGAGATTTTTAATTTTGCTCCTCTATTTGTTGTCATTTTTGAGGAGTGGATTGGTTTGATTTTCATCGAGACCAATGCAGATTACTTATATAAAATTAAGTGTCATTCATTTTGCTTTGACTATAACTAGGAGGAGCATTATACATGTAGATCTGATGTGTCCCTTGTAGGATTTCATGCATGATAACTACATGTACTGTACACGTACATGCAACTATTATGTGTTTGACCATATTGATTAATACATGTACATGTATCTCTCTTAGTTCTTATTTCCTTGTAATTTTCTTCTTTTATTAATCATGTAATATGTACAGTATAAGACAAGCACATATAGACTTACTAAATGTTGTGTAGAAATATTCTTATTGTGTTAATCTCATGTGTTAGCACACTTATTTTAATATTGGATCCCATTTGTTTGTTCATTTCAAAATGGTTTCTGGGTTCTGACTAATTTATTATTTTTTTTATTTTAGTGTTTCGTAAAGGCAAAGAGTAAATCTGTCAACAGCCACCAAAATTTAATGAACATACAGTTATGATAAAAATTGTTATTAGTGGGTTTTTTGTTATTGACATTGCATGTCACATTTTTGTACATGTAAATCTTTTTGTAACAATATTCAGTGACACTTATGTGTTGAATGTTTTATGTTTTTTGTTTAATAATTATTATTTAAGATTGATTAATGATCTTATTTGAAACGATGAATTAATAATGAATTCAACATACATAATGAACAGTAATAGGGATTTTGGTTCAAATTTGCTCATGTACACTAGTAGAATTTGCATTTTGGTGAATTTCTTTATCAAATTGGGCTGATGACTTAGTAATTGTGAGCCAGTAGCAAACTGCATTGGGCCAATTGTGTGCCTATTTGGCTTAACAAAATCTCTGTACTGTATGTTTGAACTAGTGCCAAGTGAGTATGACCAGGAGCCCAGAAGGTGAAATAATTGTACCATACATACATGTATACATCTAGGACAATGATTATAACAGACATACATGTACAAACACTAAATTACATGTACATGTGCACATGCAAACACATAAAGTGTACAAAGAGTTGGTATAGGTGGTGGGCTACATGTACATGTATGTGTGAGAGAGTCTTTATTATGGATCCTTCCCAGTTCCACATTCGACAAAGTGACAAAGTTAGGAGTGTTCTAATAACAAGATAACATGGTAATACAATCGAATGAGTTTGTTGGAAGCATTATAAGGTAGAGAGAACTTAAATAAGAAACCTGCTATGCATGCAATGAGGTCACTATCAGGCTCATAGCCAGTGGTGCATTTTCTAGGATTGCACCTCCCATTTGACATGAAGAACAAAAAGACTTCCAGCCTGTGCTGGAGTTTGCTACTGTCAGCCATACAGTAAATAATAGTCAATCATGTCAGACCTACCTGTAAAGTAACTTTGCTGATTGTCTGCTGTACTACGTTGAATTAATTGCATTGCTTGTGTGAAACCCCACATATCTAATAGAACGTTTCAATAGTTGTGGTAATTTTAAAACTTGTTGAAATGTGTCAGCAACATTCACTCTTCATACACTTCAACTATGATTATACCATTTATGTAGCAAAGTTTGTAATATTTTTGGCAGACTGCAATGTTATAATTAATTTTATTTTTTGATTGAGTTATATGCATTGGTACATTGATGCTTGTACTTAAGTCCACAGTTACTCTACCTCTCTGGGGCACTTCCCAATACTTGTACTTTACTTAAGTTCTGACCATATTTTGAATGAAGGTAATTTTTGTATAATAGTAACAAGGCATACTAAATTTTGAATTACTAAAATTTACTTTTCACTAATTTATATTGTAGGAAAAATAAGCAACATATGAACACCTAAATTTTCCATTCTGTATTTATAATTCTTGAAATTTACCTGATTTTTGGTAACATAGAGTATACATGTAGTTTTAGTAAAGTGCTTGTAGTTATGCTTAAACTTGAGTCTATACATTACTTCATGTAATTCATGACTTCAATCAAATCTAACATTATTATTACATGTATATTAATTTAATTAGCTAATGAAATTGCATAAATTGTACTTATTCTGGTACTTCTGTACATGACACTTGTGTTTATGCTAAAATGCTACACTATAAGTATCTTGTGTAACTACTTCTATAATTTTTGTATATACCGTATAGCTAGAAAATTTGAAGTGTTAAAATTTTGCGAATTAACTCTAAAAGAGGTTTGGAGGTTAAAATTTTTGCTAAATTTTAACTCTGTGTATGCTTCTATGGAGCCTTATCAAATTGGAGACTAAAAATTTGGCAAATGGACCTCAATTCGCCAAAGTTTTACTCCACCAAATTTTCTAGCTATACGGTACTTGGTTCCAGCCCTGGACTCTATTAATTAATTAATTTACTTATATTGACCTTGCATATAAAATTTTTATGTACAAAATCACCTTTTTGTATTCCTACATGTAATTATGCCTCTCAAAACATTCTACACTAATAATTATGCCTGTTAGTTTATTGTTTACATAACACTCGAACTTTTCTTTTAATATTATGGGGTGGTAGCACTTCCCTTTTCCTCCTCTGCTATCTATGAATACATGTACACGTATGCTACTAGTGTAAACTTTTTTAAGTACTCAGCAAAGTTAGCCATAAAGGCAAAGTTTAATTAATTGGCTAGTTATAATTATATATAATATCTGCTGCAGATGGACTTGCGCTTGGGCTCTTGCTTGGTGTAACACCAGACTTGTAGAAGCACCAAGGCTCATTTTCCTACAATGTGGAACAAGTTTAGTTAAGCACATGTACATGTACATGTAAGTTACTTTTTCCTTATAGCAGCAGTCTTTCTTTGTGCATTCATCTTCAGTAATGCCAACATGACCTATTGCATTCAATATTCTTTCTTGCTTTGTATGGTAGTATTACTTACCACAGTCAATTTTATCTTTAACATCAATGCATGCACTTTGAGCTGATGACTTTTTAAAGCAATATATGTCTCCCTAAGAAATGATCAAAACAACTCTTGTTTACATTATTACTTGTTTCTCAAGCCAGCAGCATTTACGATCTATGCATTCCTTCTCTTGTATTCCAAGATATCCTATTAGCAAAAATAATTATGATAGCTGGTGCATAATTTTATTTTGATGCTATAGTACCACAATCTGTTTTTTCCAAATCAGGTCTGCAGGTGCCAGTAGTAGAAACATCTGTCTGATAGCACCAAGGATCCTTTGAACTAGACTGCAACATTATATAATTTGTTGGTATTGTCATTTTTCATTCATTGCAAATACAGATATACATGATAAATTAATCAATAACATACGTCTGGTTTCCAACAGCAGTCTCTAGTTGTACAACCAGTTTCATTTATTCCAGCAAAACCTATTAATTCATGTTATTGTATGTAGTTTATTTGTGACATTTTGAACATTTTTGCTCACCACAGTCATACTTTTCAGAGACATCACAATTAATAGCCAAAGTAACTTTAGCACAGAACAGCAAAGTTCCACATAAGATTAGTCCAACGTTCATGTTACCAATAGTGAAAAAAATCAACACACTGACTCTTATTCTCTCTCCTAAAAATGCGAGTTAGACGTTGGTACAGATATTATCACAGCCTCAGTTTTAGTGTGCACACAATGAGCCATTGTATTTGAATGCTCTGTAGTAGGAAGTCTATTCAAAAGATCTGGCTGTAGGTATGGGCAATTGTATTTTGTCACTAGTTTGGCAATCTATTTGTTACAGTATGCAGATATTCATTTTTCATTTTGATCAGTTTATTCAGAAGCTGGCATGTACATGTACATGTATATGGCGTGCTGCTTCACAGGTAATGCATGCACTTTGAACACTTATTGCTTCTTTTAGTATTCAAATAATACTTTGACTTTCGATGATACAAATATACATTTAGATAATAGGAAGGTGAAAAATTTCACTTTTGCTTTTATTTAAATTTGCAAATTTTGGTATCCAACTCTATTAGTTGTACAGTGCTTAAATTTACATTTCTGATGATTTTAACACATGTATCTAGCCTTGAAATAATTAGTGTAAAGCTATACAAAGTTACATTCAATGCTACAAGGTGCATTTACCCATACTTTGCTAGTTTATATTTTTAAAAAGCTCATTCAAGACGAAGATCAAGTCTTGTCACTATTACAAATTCCATGATTCATGAGCATCCATTGAATGTAGTATTTGAATGTACTTTACACTATGTACCTTAGGTATTCAACTTGGTGTCTCATTATAGGCTGTTACTGTTAATAGAAATAGTGTGTCATAGGTGCTGGTATGGTTGTTCATGACTGGAGTGCTTTCTGTGGATTGGATACAACTAGTACTGAGTTATCTGTCATTGAGAGTGTGTGTAAGCTAACTGATGCACCACAATCAGCCATTGTCACTGATATGAGAGATTCGTTATTAGAAACGTAAGTCAGTTTCATTATAGCTACTATAGAGATGTGCACGATTAATAAAGCTCAATTTATTTAATAATTTGAAAGCACTTCAAAATAACCTGTACAAGTACATATACATGTATCATATAATACTTTATACACAATACAACACAACAAGCTGTATCATGTACTACAGTATTGTATCCCTTTGAAACTACTATATATATTAAAACTTGATTATCATAAGCATGTAAGTCAATAAAATAAGAAATCTTGTCTAAATCTTAATCTTTTAATTGTCACAGCTTTGACTTAGAGAGCCAGTTAAACTCATATTGTAAATTAACACAATAAATGTAATCAATGCTGCACTATACTCAGCAGTATCAACCACATTAGAACTATTATTAGCTATAGCTTGGTTCATTTAATAAGCTCATAACTGAAAATGTCCTTATTATGCATCAAACACTCTTCAAAAAGTAGTAGATCCAAAGTTTGACATTCATATATAATCTTAATATGTCAAATATAATTCCGGTGATGTACAGTATTGATTCTACATACTTTTTGTTCTTTTGTCTGGGACGGGGAAGACTAATACATTAACAATGACTGGTAGTACTACTCTTCCTTCATTGATCAATTTTATTATATTCCTGAGGAGTACTGGCAATATATCCTTTACCACCAAAATGTTCCATACAAGGAAGAATGAAGGAGAGAAGTAGGAGTGGGACAATAACAAAAAAAGCAATATCACTTTCATACTCTTTCTCACCCCTTCTCCTCTCCAGTAGCAATAAGCATCAGGGTATTTTGGCTGCTAAACCAAGTCATAATCAGCTCAAACTTTCTACACAGCATAAGGGCATTAATATATATCAATAAAAGGGGGTGATTCCAAAGCCATTTTTGGAAAAAATCATGGGCTATAGCCTCGAGTATTTTTCAAAAATTGGTTGTTTTTAAGAATGCTCATACGCATGTACATGTAACTTGAAAAGGTTGAGTTGGAATCACCTCAAACTTTCCACACAGCATAAGATTATCAATTTTTTTATCAAAAAAAATTAATAAAAATTGTTGGATGATTTTGGAGCCAGTAAAAAAACCATGGGCTATAGCTTTCAAAAATGGGCCATTTAAAAAATTGTCCATAAATCAAAAAGTTTAAGTCAGAAACACATAAAGTTAAAAATATTTGCTACAAAAAATACTATGATTGTGTTAATTTTATCTTCCCACTCTGTCTCACTTGATAAAAGGGTCATCATTCTTCATTATATACATGTACTTCATCATATTGCTTTTGTAGGAATCATTCATTTATCATTATTTTAGAAACTATTGAAAGCTTATGCCTATAAAATAAAAAGAACAAAAATAATTGCAATCATTATATAAGTACATACATCATGCACAGCATATATCACATGTACATTATGTTTTCATGCCCATCAGCTGAATTTAGCCCTTGTTGATTCCTGTACAAAAGTACTTGCTACATACTACTTTTATGCAGTCTCTAATTCCATTCCTGAGAATCCAAAGGCACTATCACCTTGAATATACAATAAACTGGAGTCTGTAAAAAAACAGAATAATAATCAATACAGTATACAATTTAAGTTGAATGTACGCATTTCAGAAAACAAGCTCATGTATTTACTTGTTCTTTAAATTTGTTTAAACTCATAGTATATAGAGCAGCTGCTATGGCAAACCAAGTACCAGTACCCATAGTACCTGCATCTAACCTAAATGGAAATAAGATAGGAATATAATATACATGTTTCAAACCAATTAAGATGTCTTAGCATGCATGTACATGTACATGTACATGCATCAATTGTACAGTATAACTAAGTTTAATGAATTGCTAAAACTTATAGCAATCAGCAGTTTTTAATTCGGCAAATTTGTGTGCCATGGCTACCAAAATTGTTTAAGTTCAACAGCTCCAAAAATGCTAACTACACAGTGCCAGAATTCCTCATTATTGGCTTCACCTAATGCAGAAATTTTTAATATCTCACATCACATGTACTTGTACTATAGTCACTGGTGGTTTTAAGGGGTGCCAAAAGGGCACAGGCCCACCCTGTAACAATATTCTAATTGCTAATTCAAGTGATATTATTTTTTAATGCAAGCCTTTCTTGACTGCTACATTATAGCATCCTTTATTGTTGACACTATAAAACAACTTGAACTGAACCAATGTTTGTACTATTGCGTCATTTGTGTGATGTACATGTATTCATGATTACCTGTGTCTTGGGTAGAATGTTTTAACAACAGTCCGAGCAACAGTCCTACCAATGTCCATTGCATTAGCTCCTTCATTCACTACAATAGCACCACGTGGTATGTAATCTGTTATCTGAGAGAAAAAGAGAAGGATTGAAATTTGAGGGATACCGGAGACAGGGAAGAAAAGGGGAACAGAGAGGAAGACAAAATTAAAGGCTAGAGAAAAAGAATTTAGAATATGAGATGGAGAGGGAAGAGAAAGAGAGGGAAAATGAGGGAGCGGTGAGAAAGAAAGAGAAAGAGGTGTGAGAGGAGCTAGAAGACATTGAAAGAAGGAAAGAGACAGAATTATGAGATAAAGGGAAATATTTTTTCCAATAAAAGACTAAAAGTTCATGGGTGTGTGGAACTAGCTAGCAATAATTTTATTAGACTAGCAATAATGTAAGCAACAATTATTGTTCTATGATTTATGGTGGCATAGATATTAGAGTTGGTGGGAGCATAGATATTAGAGTAAATATCATTTACTTCATCTATGGTGGGAGAGGGTAAACGAGACCGGCCCTTTTATTTAGAATTTTGAATTTTCTGTGCTCTGCTTTGCTGAGGCTTTTACTTCTCTCTTTTGCCTTGTATACAATACTTAAACTAACTGGTTAATGGCTTCAAAACCATCACATTTCCCATTAGGTGAGTCAGCTGATTATTGATAAAGCACTAATATTTTCGTCGTGTACAGACATTAGTAAGTTAAAGTTTGTTTTACAAGTCTTGAAGCATTACAAATTCCCTGATGCAAGATGGTTTGAATTTGGATTGAATCTTGGTCTACTTCATCCTACACTGGAAGCTATTGAGTCAGCTCATAGAGGCAATCCTTCACGCTGCCTGATGGAGTGTTTAACCAAGTGGTTGACTAAAGCTGATGATAATGTCACCACTGTTGGTCCTATTATCTGGAAGACACTGGCTAATGCTCTTAGAGAAATGGATGTAAAATCTATTGGCATTGATATTTGCAAAACAAGTAATAATGTTATTATCGTTGCACTTTGTTTATATTTTTATTAGTGGCAGATCCTGTTAGTGAGATATTACAGTGTTATATTGGTAGACTAGCTCAAGTTGTTCTTACTGAGGAATCAGTTGATCTCTTACATACAGAGGGATTGATATTTAAGGATACATTAGCAGAAGTGAAGAGTTGTGGTTATTCATTGGTAGGAGATCCAATGTTACTAATATTAAGTGCTGTAGCTGAAAATCATAACAATTTATGTACTCTGACAAGCATTCTAATAAAATCAAATGAAGCAGTGTCTTTAGCTAGTGATATAATAATGAAATATGGTAATTCTATGTATACACTTTACTTTAGTCTGGCTTGCCAGACTAACTTTACTTATTTACATTCTAATACAATAGGAAAGTTATTTCCTTCAGCAGTAACAGTGAGTGATACCGTCTTGTCAACAAGCAAGTGCTTCAACAGCTTCAAGTAATAATAATAACATATATTCACTTGTAAGAAGTTGTTTCTAGATGGATCCGGAACTCTCTGTGTACTATTGTAATTATATATTATGTGTTTATTCAAGTATATTCTAGAACAATCATGTAAAGTATTCTTGTATGTTATAGAACCTTCTGGACATTTATAATATCTATATAAGTGTGTTGTTAGTTAGTTGTGAGTTAGTTTTGTTTTTGTTAGTTGGTTTTGGAGCTCAGTTGAGTCTCGTGTTGATTAAGAATAAAGTTTGGTTAACAGATAGTTGGAGCGTCTGTTACATTTTTTGGTGGCAGCGGTGGGATAGTTCTCAAACGGTTGTAGAGGAAAGACCCACTATTGTATCTCTGCAAGAGAGAGAGACTAAAGTTTATAGTGTCTGGTGTGACTGTTTATGTC